GGTTGCAGGGGTCGATTCATAGCTCCTGGCCTCCTGTGTGTGTGTGTGTGTGTGTGTGTGTGTGTGTGTGTGTGTGTGTGTGTGTGTGTGTGTGTGTGTGTGTGTGTATGTGTGTGTGTGAGTGCGCGCGTGCGTCTGAGGGTGCGTGTGTGTATGCGTGTGTGCATGCATGTAATTATATATTTGTAATTACCTATCTGCAGTTACACGAATAGAGCTTCAGCTCGTGGTGTGCCGTCTTCTGTTGTATATTTATCATATATTTTATCTTTCTCATTGGCTGTGTCACGCACGATTCGTCTCTCATTTCAGTCGTCTATCACTCTTATTGTATAAGTAATATTTTCCAGTATTCCTTCTACATTACTTACATACTTGAAGGTTATCTCTTTTTTTCCTTCGTACTGGGGGCATCAACATATTCTCTTTGTCTAATGTTTACGACTTTTTCAATTTATATATATACATGCATACATATAATAAAGCAGTACTGTATTTCATAAGAATTTCTCATGTAGTCCATGGTAGCCAAATAATGCGTATCTAAATTTTAAATAAAAGAAATATTTTTATCGCTACTACATTTATATAATTTTCTGGTTAAAACTCACTCCAAAGTCTGTTTTTCTGTCACAGGTACATTTGAGTATTATGTTTAAATAATCCTCCTTTTTCGTTATATGGTGTTCATTATTTTTTCATACAGTTTTACTCCACATGCCTAGCATATTTAAACCATCTGCATTGTTGTCTAGAAAATATTTGCATTACCTGCAAATATGTAAATTTAGTTTTTATAGCGTCTGGCAAAACATTTATATTAGTAAGAGCGGGACAAGTGCTGGTTCTTGCAGTACCCCGGGCTGGCTTAAATGTGCTTATCATCATACATTATTTAGACTGACTAGATTATATTTAACCAATTATAACCTACAGTAACACCAATAAAAAGTATTATAGAGACGGAAGTATACCTGAATAAAGTCTCTGTATGCTTAAAAAAAGAGCAGCTATAAATGTGAAACTGACATGGGCATGTGAAACTGACATGGGCATGTGAAACTGACATGGGCATGTGAAACTGACATGGGCATGTGAAACTGACATGGGCATGTGAAACTGACATGGGCATGTGAAACTGACATGGGCATGTGAAACTGACATGGGCATGTGAAACTGACATGGGCATTGAAGTGCAAGCTGATGCTAACGTCGGACTATTGATTAAAATTGTGAGTAAAGTCGGGTTGCGTGCGGCCAACAGTAACAGCCTGGTTGATCAGGCCCTGATCTGCCATGAGGCCTGGTCACAGACCGGGCCGCGGGGGCGTTGACTCTCTTCAGGTATACTCTAGCAAGGAGGTGGGGTGGATGGAGAGAATTATAGATAGTGAAGACAATGACGAGCACTAAAAGTCCTCTGCGTGTATCATAAATGAGAAAAGATGAACCTCGGGATCATTGATCGAGAACCTCACGTGATCTAACCAAAAAGTCTTTGATGGATGAGGCTCAGTGTTTGTGTCTGAGGGGAGTCATTCCTTGAAAGTGGGGGAGGCCTTGATGCTGGTGAGGGGCTCTTGATCAAGGAAGTTGAACCTGCTCTTAAGACCCTTCCTTGATTTAAACCCAATTACCCCATTCACTAGGTGCTGTACGATCCCTACAGGTTTAGCACCTTTTTATAAATATATGAGGATTGTGATGGCTACCCCCGTACATGTCAGAGATATTCTAATCATGCTATTACAACCTCATTACCTATGATAGTCACTACACACTACACAAACCTCACTACCTATGATAGTTACTACACTCTCGCTGGCTGGCTAGTATAATCACCAGTCCATCCTCACTACCAATGATAATACCACTACACCCTCACTAAAAGTGATAATTACCACTACTCCCTCAATTCCTATAATAATCACCACTACACAGCCTATGATAATCACGGCTACAGCACCTCACTACCTACGATAATTACCAATACACCAACCTTACTTCCTATGATAATCACTACCAACCCCAGTACCAATGATAATAACCACAACAGCGCCTTTACTGCTAATGATAATCATCACTACACCCTTACTATGATAATCACTATATCACCCTCTCTGCTAACGCTGATTACCATTACACCTTCCTCACCATGATAATCACTAGATCACCCCACAACTAATGATAATCACCACTACATCACCTTCACTCAGGTCATCATAGCAGGGTCAACCATCACCTTGTGTACCATAATTAAATATCGACCGTAGCAGTCACAAGCCCCCGAGATACCTGTAACTGAAGCAGCCCATGGAGATGTACACCTACCTCATTTGCATACACTACCGCATTAAGCGACGCCAGCACAACCAGTTCTCTGAAACATACCTTGTTCTACTTGTTTATTAACAGGCATTTTTCTTTAAACTGATGTCTTGAAAATATAGTGATTTTACCCACATTAAGTTCTGGGAATGTTGTTCAGTGAAAATTTGCCTCGCCAGACGACTGACGCAATTTAGAGACGCAAATTTCTTGAGAACAGCAATTTCCACGTAGGAAAGTATCCTTTGCATCAAGCAGGATTGATAATAGTGTGTGATTATTCATTGGGTACAATAGGGACAGTGCCAAGGCTTACGAACAAAATTTGGACTACAAAAATTAACTCCGAAAATAAGAAAGGAAACTGCTAAATCAAATTGAATAAATTTCTGTGAACTTATTGGTAACAATTTAGATCTTTCTTGGGTGCCTACAATTGTGAGTGCCAGGGGCCACGTAAACCTTATTCTCAACCTTGACTAAGGTAGTGACGTGTCACTGAGACTAGAAGCAAGAGACTTTCTGCTGACTTCACACCACCAAGAGTAGTTCCTGGCACCTAAAGTCGGTACCTGACCAGCCGGGCTGTGCTCGTACGTTGGATTGCGTGCAGCCAGCAGTAACAGCCTGGTTGATCAGGCTCTGATCCACCAGGAGGCCTGGTCACAGACCGGGCCGTGGGGGCGTTGACCCCCGGAACTCTCTCCAGGCAAACTCCAGATGATATCTATATAATGATTGTTTCGGGGTATACAACATTGTGGAAGCAAGGAGTTGTGAGAATAAAACCCAGTTAGTCATGTGCTGTCTCCCGCATGATAGTTTGTTTACACAATTTATCACGTTTACGGTAGTTAGAAATAATCTCAGTTTGTATACAAAACATACACCTTTGCCAGCACTAAGTCATTCAGATACTGGATCGTAAAATATCATTCACGGTCGGGCACAAACTTGCTGAATAATGCTCAGTATCGTTCCAGGTATAAGTATCTCTGACAGTACGGTTTGTATGGAGATGTCAGTGATAAAATGTGAAGTGTGTGCAGAGACAGGGTCATACACTGGAGCATTATATTTCAAGAGTGTTCTAACGTCCAACCTTTCAGAGACATCTCCGTGTAAACCCTACAGGATATTGCAAAACACATTATTGCTAATGGTAAGATATCTGAAATCTTAAGGTTGTTTCCACATTTTGCATCGACTAGATGAGTGAATTGTTTTCATAGAGGAAATTGCAACCCATTTGTGACCAATGTTTGATAAGTGGTAATAAGATATAAAAATGGAGATTGTATTACATACTGTAATGTGGCCATGAGCAAAATGAAGTAATTGTAATATGTGAAATGGCTAATATTTCTTTATAGTGATTTAACAAATGTCAGTGGGGTCTAAGAAAGACCCACTGTGACCTCTGTAATCCCGTTTTCTTGCGCTACCGACCACAGGTTGAGCATGGGGTGCAGAATAAACTAGCTCCTCAGGCAGACAACTAACAAATTACTTTCCTTCAAGAATAAAACTCATTTGAACTACATTGTTTATAAACAATATTTAACTCCTCTATATGTAACATCGCAGCTATTGATTTTTGCGTCAAGCAACTTTTAGCTTAGCAAGGAACGAAATTAACAAGTCATCTTTCAAAAAACGCGAAAGTCATTCCCAGCAATACTAGATTTTTTTCGCAACATAAGGGTCAATAACCGAGAAGCCTCGCCTTCCCGTATTTTACTACCACTAGCTTATGAATGCTGAAGTATTCATAAACTTTTACGCTAGTTATACGACGCTTGCCAACTCAAAAGATAAGATAAGAAAAGATTGGTTGGGGGTTTTAACCCGGGGGAGGGTTAACTACCCAGAATAATGCTATGAAATCAGGGCATCATCGAGGCTTGTCTGTTTTATTTCCGTTGTGGTCCTTCAGTCTTGTTCCCCCCAGGATGCCACCCACAAATCGACAAACACCCAGGGTACCTACTTACTGCTGGGCGAACAGGGACAGCAAGTGTGAAGTGACTAAACACGCAGATACCTACTTGCTGCTATTTGAACAAAGACAGCAGGTGTAAGGTGACTAATACCCAGGTACCTACTTCTAGATGAACAGGGACAGCAGGTGCAAGGAAGCATGCCCATTATTTCCACTCGTGCCGAGGACTGAACTTCGGACGATCAGTGTCAGGTGATTGCGTTGCCAACCGAGCCACGGCACGCCAATACATATTGTATAAAGATTGGTAACGTTAATTAAAAAGCAGATAAAAAAATATGAAGCTAAGAAAGTATACTAAGAAAAAAGGAGGATTTTTTTAATGCAATGTTTAGATTAAATTCGAAGGGCTCACGAAGTCTCTGTATTCCCTTCCTGGAGAGAAAAACTTTGATTATGCTCAAGGTATGTAGCCAGCCCTTGTTTCATTTTTATTATGCCTTTAACTGATGTAGTGGAGAAAAATTGACATTTAGAAAAATGCCAAACGTTGACAATATAAATTGAGAATGCTCGCCCGGACCCTTGACCCATTATGCGCTTCTGCAATCTTTTGACTACCTCCCACACCATGGGTATGGGGTGCTTAATAAAGATATTAAACAAACTAACGAAAGTTTGAATGATCTTATTTTACATATAACAATATGTAAATGTATTCTTGTGACAGGACATGTGATGGGTCTGAGGAGCGACTGTGGGCGCAGCACCAGTACACTTGCCGCCCACAACAAGCTGCTTGCTCCACCCATACCTCACCCCACTGCATGTCTTCCCTTGGACGATCTCACCGCTCTGGTAGGTATGAGAAGAGGCAGAGGAAGAATTAAAGGTTAGGTAAATTCGTCAGGAAACAGGACAAGTGTTTCCCGAGGCGGATCTTAGTCATATGATGACCCGCAGCTGGAGATTTTGGTCATTTGACCGATGCCTTCCGCTGGCTTACCGGTCCACCCCTTTAAAAATTAAGGTTATAATTATAACCATTTTACTGTTATATAGAAGAACTAAAGAGAGGGCCAGGGATTATATAACTACATGTTCCCACTTAGTCGGTATAGTTTAAATTCATATTCACCTGTGAGGCACTGAGTAAGGATGCAAGTGATAGACACAATAAACAGGTTGGAAGTGATAGACATAATAAACAGGTTGGAAGTGATAGACACAATAAACAGGTTGGAAGTGATAGACACAATAAACAGGTTGGAAGTGATAGACATAATAAACAGGTTGGAAGTGATAGACATAATAAACAGGTTGGAAGTGATAGACACAATAAACAGGTTGGAAGTGATAGACATAATAAACAGGTTGGAAGTGATAGACACAATAAACAGGTTGGAAGTGATAGACACAATAAACAGGTTGGAAGTGATAGACATAATAAACAGGTTGGAAGTGATAGACATAATAAACAGGTTGGAAGTGATAGACATAATAAACAGGTTGGAAGTGATAGACACAATAAACAGGTTGGAAGTGAGAAAAGCAGCGGGGATAGATGGGATCATGGGATCAGAACTGAATAGCTGCGAGCAGGTTGGTATAATGTATTAGAATGGTTAGCGTTTATATTCAGTGTGTATGTATCAAAGAAGTTGTCTCATTTTAATGTTATTTTAGTATTGTATTTTATGTTGGCAGAGCTTATGGGAGGAGGGAATCCGGACCCACTACCAGGGTCTGCCTGTACCCATACTCCGGAGTCGCCTGGACCACGCACCCACACCCACCACACTCCTGCTGGCCGCCAACGCTAACCCCATTACCACGCCCACACCATGTTACTGGTCACCATGATCACACCTACGTCTTCTCAGTAGTTACTGTAACAACACCCACACCTTAATTGTCACCATGGCCACGCCCACGCACAATCCCACGCCCAAACCATAATGGTCCCCACGCCACATTATTGAGCATACTGACAACTGCATTAACTTTGCTCCTCTGAATGTTACAACGCAATGATATTTCGGCTTGAAGTTTGTAATATAATGCAAAGCTATAAATTATTTTACCATGACTTGCTCATTCATAGTTTTTATATTATGTGCATAATATAAGTCTGTCCATACCTATAAACACTGACCAAAGGCACAAAATAACTTACATAGAAAAGGAGATAAGAAAAGTAAAATATATTTCAGCTCCACACTTAGGCCATTAACAGACTGAAAAAAATGTACATAGCATAAAGTTTTTATACAGAGGCAAGTAACATGAAGTAATGACATGACTGTAAGCCAGGTGCAGGAAGTAAGTCGATTATTATTATTATTATAAAAAAAGAAGCGCTAAACCACAAGGGCTATACAGCAGGAAGTAAGTCGAGTGCTGGAAGAAGTGACTTCGATACACAGGCAGTTATATTATCGTATGCATAGGGTTTTACACCTATACATACAATTTGTTTTACTGTATACATAATAAAAGCAGCTTTCTAGTCAGTTTTATGGTTATGGTTCGTAATATACTAGGAAATTGTTTAACTGGTTTATACACAGCAAACAGACCTCTTATGTTCTGTTACTCTTGTAATTAAACGTCATTTTGTTCACTGTATGACTGGTTGCAGGATTTCCAAGTAATTTCAAATACACATGTACAACAACGGTAGTTTATTTTTCAAACCGCTAGTAACGATTACCCATGTTTCTAGGGCAATGAGGTACAAGCAATGTGAGTAGGTAATAAATTGGGGGTCCTCTGTCTTGTCCCCCAGGATGCGACCCACACCAGTCGACTAACACCCAGGTACCTATTTGCTGCTAGGTGAACAGGACAACAGGTGTAAGGAAACACGTCGAAATGTTTCCACCCCCCGGGAATCGAACCCGGACCCTCCGTGTGTGAAGCGGGAGCTTTATATAATATATATATATATATATATATATATATATATATATATATATATATATATATATATATATATATATATATATATATATATTTATACACACACATATATCCGCATTGGTGTTGCTCTTCGACTTGCCGCCCTTATTCTCGCCGAACACAGGTGTATTTGTGGCAGTGAAGCAGCAGACCGATTCGGGTACCATGGTCTTGTGTGCCGTAAATCCGAGGAAAAGACTGCAAGACATGAGGAGGTTAATAAAATTATCAAGAGGAGCCTCACAACAGCCGAATGCCCAGCAGTAAGGGAGCCACTCCAACTATGCAGATCTGATGGCAGCCAGAAGCGTCCAGATGGTATCACCCTTCAGGCCTGGACAAAGGGGAAGCAGGTGGTGTGGGACTATACATGTGTATCTGCTTTGGCTGATACCCCCTCAAGGAAGGTTCCTTGATGTTGGTGAGGGGCTCTTGATTTAGGGAATTGGATCTGTGCTCCAGTTCCTCGAATTAAGCCTGAATGCCTTCCACATCCCCCCCCCAGGCGCTGTATAATCCTCCGGGTTTAGCGCTTCCCCCTTGATTATAATAATAATAATTTGGCTGACACCTATCTCCAATACACCAGGGAGGAAGGAGGGGCAGCTGCCAGCTTCAGGGAGTCCCAAAAGTCTAGAAAATATGGAGAATTTGCCTATCATTATGTACTTGTTCCCATTGGCTCAGAGACCCTTGGCTCATGGGGAAAGAGTGCATCTAAATTCCTTAAGGAGCTGGGAAAAAGACTCATCAGGGTAACTAGGGATCTTAGGGCAGCTAGTTTTCTGTTCCAGCGGCTCAGTGCGGCTGCTCAAAGGGGTAATGCCTGCTATATTTTGTACACATGCCCCAGCTCTGAGAAGCTGGATAAGATTTTCGCCTTACATTCGGTGACACACACGTAACAACATGTACTGTATATATATATATATATATATATATATATATATATATATATATATATATATAATATATATATATATATATATATATATATATATATATATATATATTATCTTCTACCACCCCCTATATTTTATATTCTATGTGAACATTTATTAATAAACAGAATACATTTACAGAAAACAAACATGAATAAAATGGTACAATGTATTAAAGATCATGAATTTCCTCCAGCTCCTCCGAAGCCGGACGCGAGCCAAGTATGCAACAAGCATTTCCCCTCTGGATGGCCACATTGAGGCACTGGAACATGAAAGTGGCTGCCCTTGGGTCCCTGGTGGTGTCGATGAGTCTATGTTCCCCATCAGTAAAATGGGTACCTGGGTGTTAGTCGACTGGTGTGGGTCGCATCCTGGGACACTGACCTAATTTGCCCGAAATGCCTCCGGAGCATAACAAGGGACTTTCTATATAGTAATATGTCATTGTAATCAGCTAGGACTGTATACCCTGTACATGTACTTGTAGTAAAATAAAGATATTATTATTATTATTATTATTAAACGTGTGGAATTTTTTCCCCGTGATCCCAAGGCCTCTGATCTCACTGGGACAAATTGATACTGTTGGCTTACGTCCCTGTACTTGCTGATCTTGTACTCCTCCCTGTGGTCAGCAGCTCCTCCCTGTCGCCCAACACTGTGATGGACATAGGTGTCAGCCAGTGTGGACACACAGGTATAGTCCCATGCTATAAGAGCTTGCCATTCTTCCAAGGATAGATGGTGATCCCGTTGGGGCGGTTTGCTGGGTTGTGGGTATTGTTGGCTGTTAGTGATCGGGGCTCCCTCTCGGCTGGGCATCCAGCTGTAGCAAGGGTTCTCTTTATGTTGTTGACCTCATTGTGTCTTGCATGCCAGCCCTTGGTTTTGGAACAGTTAAGACCATGCACCTTTCAAGGCAGGTGAAATTGCTGACCTAGAAAATGTACAGAGAACCTTCATGGCGCGCATAACAGAGATAAAACACCTCAATTACTGGGAGCGCTTGAGGTTCCTAAAACTGTATTCCCTGGAACGCAGGCGGGAGAGATACATGATTATATACACCTGGAAAATCCTAGAGGGACTAGTACCGAACTTGCACACGAAAATCACTCACTACGAAAGCAAAAGACTTGGCAGACGATGCAACATCCCCCCAATGAAAAGCAGGGGTGTCACTAGCACGTTAAGAGACCATACAATAAGTGTCAGGGGCCCGAGACTGTTCAACTGCCTCACAGCATACATGAGGGGGATTACCAACAGACCCCTGGCAGTCTTCAAGCTGGCACTGGACAAGCACCTAAAGTCGGTTCCTGACCAGCTGGGCTGTGGCTCGTACGTTGGTTTGCGTGCAGCCAGCAGCAACAGCCTGGTTGATCAGGCTCTGATCCACCAGGAGGCCTGGTCACAGACCGGGCCGCAGGGGAGTTGACCCCCGGAACTCTCTCCAGGTAAACTCCAGGTAGACTGTATTGGTCTGCTTGCGCTTTGCCGCAAATACACGTATATTCTGTGTGAATTGGGGCAGCAAGGCGCAGAGCCACTGCAATATAGAGGGTCTTAGGGTCGAGTCGTGTTCCCATTGCCGATATGGGAACTGTGTGGAGGAATTCCCCGGAGTGAGGTGCGCTCACAGCCTGGAGACGGGCAGTCTCCCTATCTGATGTTGCAGCCCTAAGCATGTTGGCAAGCACCTTTTCAGCGATTGGGCCATCCCAGCTTGACTGTGAGCCAGTGTCATTCAGTGATGGCACTGGCATAGCTAGGGTCCTGTATTCCTGCTGAGTCGCTGAGGTTATCAGGAAGAATTTGTCTTATCAACTCGTTTGACGCTATGGAAGAGAATAGGAAAGCTGGTAGAGCAATCTGGGAGGATCTGCGTACTCCTAGCCCTCCAAGCCTGACCGGAAGTGATGCTTGCAACCACTGTCCATCTTCAAGGGAAAGATTCAATACACTCTCTGGCATGGTCTTAAGGAGAGAGTCATATTCCTTGAGTTTTGGACTGCTGAAGGCTGGGGAGCATCTCGGAAAGTAGGTAAGTTTTGAGATTGACAGGCACCTGGTGAGTAGGTAGAAGGCATCATGTGTGTCAATGTCTTTCATCCTGCTTTCCATCGTCTGGAGGTCTGAGACTTTTTTTCTAGGATCAGATCGATGGCATTGAACCCAAGAGGAGCACCAAGGAGAATGCTATTGGTTGGATCAACGGCTCGTGCTCCTGGTAAAACGGCGCTAATATTCTGGATCATCTGTCGATTGGTAGAAACTATTTCTCATTTGGTGGGATTTAAAGAAAGGCCCAGGCTTTCTCCCATGTCTTTAATTTTACTGATGTCCTCTAGGAGAGATTCTGTTCTGCCAGCGAGGGGTACCATCATCCAGGAACTAGATATTGAGCTCATTGGAGAGTGCTTTTATGACGTCCTTGATGACCAAACAGAATAGAAAGGGGGCGAGAGAGCTCCCCTGTTGCAGAGGCAATATACATTGCCTCTATAACTGGACTGGGGACCCTCATTGTGCTTATTCATTTTTAATATAAAACTACCTTTAACATTGCTGCATTGTTCCTGCTGTAATTTTCAGTACTCTATCATGTGAGTTATTCTAGTATTCTTGTAAAAAAGAGAATATTATTATAACTTGAAAATGTGCTTAGTCAACTCCACCTTAGAGGTACGATCCCTCGACCTACTGTGTACCTTTGAAATAATTCACTACTGTCCATAGTGCTATGGCTACATAATAAGCTTGTATATAAATAAAAATCTTTTCAGAATTGTCTACAAAGGAAATATTAGCCTTAAGAAAAATTATTAATTAATAAATGTAGTGGGTACAGTACGACAGCTAAAGATGAGATGGTGGCAGCGGTGACGTCAGAGGTGGCGGACGTAAGAGTGCTGAGTCAGGTGGAGTCACCATTATTGTTTCTCTTGTTTTAAGTCGCTGAAAACTACTTCAAGATGTCCACGGCGCTGTTTGGAGGAAGTGCTCGCTCGTCCAGCAAGAACCTGGTGGAGTTCAGGGTGAGTGTGAGCCAGGGAAGGAGGAGGAATTACGTCCTTATAGCTGTTAAGGAAGAAGAGCAACAGCAGCACCCATCACATAGTCTTCCCCAAACCCCCCTGTTTTCCTCCCCTTAATCTCCTTTAAATCCCCCCCCTGTTTTTAAATGAATTTCTTCCAATCCCTTGGGAATCTCCCTTCAAACCCCACCCTGAATCCTTCCCATCTCCTGTGTCTTCCCCCCCCCCCTGTTTTTCCCTCTACCGTGTCCCCCCTTCCCCCCCCCACCCAAAAATTTTTGGGAATCCCTTTTCCTATTTACCAGGGATCCCCTTTCACCCCCCTAAACCCTTCTTCCATCTCCTTTTTAATCCCCCTTATTTTCCCACCCATGAATTTTTCCAACTCCCATGAACCCCCCTTTTCATCCCCCCCCCCTGAATTCAACCATCTCCTTGAAACCCCCTTCTCCCACCCATAATTTTTTCTTCCTAACCTATAAATTCCCTTCAATCCCCCCCATGAATCTCTACCATATACCAGAATCCCCCATCCCCCCATGAATCTTCTTCCTACTACCTATGAATTCCCTTTCACCCCCACCCAATAATTTTCCATATACCTAAAATCTCCCTTCATCCCACCCATGAATTTTTCTTCCTATACTATGAATCCCCCTTCACCCACCCATGAATTTTCCATACTACCAAATGAACCCCCTTCACCCACCCATGAATCTTTTTCCAACTACCTATGAATCCCCCTTTCACCCCACCCATAATTTTTCCCATACAACCTATGAATCTCCTTCATCCCCCCCATAAATCTTTTCCAATTTCCCCTATGAACTCCCTTCATTCCACTCATGAATCTTCTTCCATACTACCTATGAATCTCATTTCACCCCACCCATGAATCTCCCTTCATCCCACCCATGAATCTTCTTCCATACTACCTATGAATCTCCATTCCACTCATGAATCTTTTTTCCAACCCCTATAATCTCCCTTCACCCACCCATAAAATCTTCTTCCATACCCCTATGAATTCCCCCTTCATCCCACCCATGAATCTTTTTCCCAAACTACCATAAATCCCCCTTTCATCCCACCTATAATTTTTCTCCATATACCTATGAATCTCCCTTCATCCCACCCATGAATCTTCTTCCATACTACCTATGAATCTCCCTTCATCCCACCCATGAATCTTCTTCCATACTACCTATGAATCTCCCTTCATCCCACCCATGAATCTTCTTCCATACTACCTATGAATCTCCCTTCATCCCACCCATGAATCTTCTTCCATATTTCCCTATAATCTCCTTCTTTCCACTCTAAAAATCTTTTCCATATTTCCTATGAATCCCCCCTTATTCCACCCATAAAATCTTTTTCCATATCCTATGAATCCCCTTCATCCCCCCATGAATCTTTTTCCATACTACCTATGAATTCCCTTAAAATCCACCCAGAATCTTTTTTCCATACTACCTATAAATTTTCCTTCATCCCACCCGAATCTTCTTCCATATCCATAATCCCCTTCTCCCCCCATGTCTTTTTCCCATACACCAAAGGGAATCCCCCTTACCCCATGAATTTCTTCCATATAAAATGAATTTTAACCCCCCCAAAAAAATCTTTTCAATATATAATTTCCTTCATAATGAATCTTTTATACACCAAATAACCCCTTTTTCATCCACCCATAACTTTTCTCAACCTTGAACTCCCTTTTTTCCCCCATGAATCTTTAAATCTAAATCTCCCCTTTTCCACCAAAAATCTTTTTCCCCATACTCCCTTGAATCTCTTTAAACCCCCCCCCTAATTTTTAAAAACTTCTTCCATACTACCTATAAATCTCCTTCCCACCAAACCCCAACTACCATGAACCCCTTTTCCCCCTTGAATCTTCTTCCAACTACCTATAAATTTCCCCTTCATCCCCCCTAATTTTTCCCAAAACCCATAACCCCTTCATCCCATAGAATCTTCTTCCATCTACCTATGAATCCCCCCTTCATCCCCCCCAGAATCTTCTTCCCATACTCCCTAGAATCTCCCTTCACCCCCCATAAAATCTTTTTCCCAACTACCTAAATCCCCCCCTTCACCCCCAACCCATGAATCTTTTCCATACTTCCTATGAATCTCCCTCTTCCACTCGAATTTCTCCTAACCTATGAATTCCCCCCCAATTCCCCCCCTGAATCTTCTTCCTACTCCCTTATGAATCTCCCTTCATTTTCCCCCCATAATTTCTTCCATACTACCAAAAAATCTCCCTTCATCCCACCCATTTAATCTTCTTCCAATACCTATGAATTTCCTTCATCCACCCAGAATCTTTTCCATCTCCCTATAATCTCCTTCATCCCACCCTGAATCTTTTTCCATATCCCTATAAATCTCCCTTCACCCCACCCATGAATTTTCTTCCATACTACCTATAACCCCCTTCATTCCACCCATAAAATTTTCTTCCTACATATGAATCCCCCTTCACCCCACCCATAAATCTTTCCATACTCCCTATGAATCTTTTTTCATCCCCCCCCATAAATCTTTTCCATACTACCTATGAATCTCCCTTCATCCCACCCATGAATCTTCTTCCATACTACCTATGAATCTCCCTTCATCCCACCCATGAATCTTCTTCCATATTCCTATGAATCTCCCTTCATTCCCTCAGAATTTTCCATACTACATGAACCCCCTTTCACCCCCCCATGAATCTCCCTTCATCCCACCCATGAATTTCTTCCATACTACCTATGAATACCCCTTCATCCCCCCCATAAATCCCCTTCTCCCACCCACGAATCTTCCTTCACCCACCCCGAATTTTTCTTCTCCCAAACCCATGAATCCCCCTTACCCCACCCACGATTTCCTTCATCCCACCCCAATTTCCTTCAACCCACCCATGAACTTCCTTCACCCCCACCCATAATTTTTCACCCCCCCCCATGAATTTCTTTCCCCCCACCCATGAATCTTCCTTCACCCCCCCCTGAATCTTTTTTCACCCCACCCTGAATCTTCTTTCCCCCACCCATGAATCTCTTTCACCCCCCATGAATTTTCCTTCACCCCACCATGAATTTTTTTTTTTCACCCCATCCTGAATCTTGTTTCACCCACCCTAAATCTTCCTTCATCCCACCCATGAATCTTCTTCCATACCCCCCATGAATATCTAGGATATTTTTAAGATTTACTCTACCAGGGTTCCTTGACCAAAAAATAAGGGGGTTTACTTAACAAAAAAATGTAGCATCAATAAATCTCCCAAATCAACTTGATAAGCAAATTCACAGTATAATTTTCCCATATTTTTCAAATTTCCATTGTACAATCTCTTAGTTTAAATAACAACTACCTTTAGTGATTTTACTAGTAAGCATAATCACCTTATGTAATTTTCTTATTTATATTTTTTTGCTTAAACATAGCTGAATTGATCTTTTCTGTCCATATTACTCCCTTTCATATATTTTTTTTGAATACTTAAATTGATTTTCCCTACTAAAATTAATAATTATAAAATTTTACTAAATTAAATTTACTCTTAACTTTTTTGACTTTTAAAAACCATTATTGCTAATTCCCTTTCCCTTTTTTATCCACATTTCTATTTTTAGAGTACTCTTAATTACTTGTCGCCTAAAACCTAAGTATAACAACCATGAAATATTGAAAAGAAATAAACATTACTTTTTCCTTTTTTTGTATCATTATTACTTACTAAAATTTTTTTAAAAACACCATATTTACTCCCAGCAATTTTTATTTTGTACTTAAACTTTATTTTATACTTCCCAAACATTTTGTTTCCAAAAATTTTTAATTTTGGATATTCAACCCCAACCTTTTATTTTTATCCTTTGTCCCTTTACCATCTTACATAATTATAAACCCGACATTACCCAATTTATTGTTCTTACCTGTCCTTTTAAATTTTTTTTACCACTACTTTTTTTAGTCATTTTTTTTGTGGTGCAATTAGTGAATTCCAATTACTTTTTTGCAAGTACCCAAAACATCTTTTGCTAGCTAGTACCAACTACCTCATTTTTTTTTTTTTTTTTTTTTTTTTTGGGGCAATAAACTGCTCAAATTTTTTAATATTACAAACAATCTTACTCCTAAACCAATTTATTTCTAGTGACTATTGTCCATTTAACTTGTTTACCATTACCAATGTATCCCTTTTTATTTTTTGTCCTTTATTTTTGCTCTATATAACTACCTTAGTTATAATTGCAAATTTTTAAAATAACAAGGGGGCTATTTTCAGGGGCTAAAGTTAATAAGTTCACTATTTTTCCCTTATACTCCAAACCATTATTTGATTACCACTTTATTTTTCACCACAACTTATATTAGTCCCTTTTATATTATAATTTTATATTTATAATCTAACTTTAAAGTTACCTTTTAAAATACTACCTACATATATTCCCAAGCTCCTTTTATTTATCTCACTTTATTTGTTCACCACAAATTATTTTAGTCCCTTTTTTTATTTTCTCCTTTTTTTTTAGCTTTAAAAAACTACCTTAGCTCATTTTTTTTTACATTTGTTTAAAAATTCAGGTGCTATTTTTTTTTTTGCTTTTGAAAATTTACTTTTTTTTTTTACTTAATTTTAACTATAGATTCACTACAAATCTTTTTGATTACAAACATTTATCTGATACCCAAACCCCTTTTAAAGACTTAAATGTTCAAACAGTTTTTCTGAATTTCTACACACAAACAACAAAAGGGACTTCTCAGAGCCAACAACAACATAACTATCTTTAAATACAAAAACAGATCTTTTAAGCAAGCATTATGATGACCTCCTAGATTACAAAATTTCCTTTTCATGCCCAAAATGTCCTTATTACACTAACAAAACCCGCTAAAGCCTGGTACACAGATTCTATGCCATCCCGGTTTCACGGGCCCTAACAACTGTAGGGCCAACCAAAAGGGGTGGCCACAAAATACTACTCAGACAACTAGAATGTATCACAATACTTGCACAAGGGGTGAAAAATGGGGAATATATAATAGCTAAATTCAATCCAAATACCTCAAAAGCCTCTCACAGTGATAAACATCTACGAATTCCACAGTCAAAAAATTGCATTTAGTCAAAACCTAGGGAAATATGATAACTGATGCACGCATGAACAAAAAATCACTTTTTCTCCAGGTGACTTCAATAAAATCTCCTGCAAGACCCGGGCCCCCCAAGTTACTGAATTCAAAAACACAATGGTAATGATGTTCACCAAAAAGTAACAAAAAACCTACAAGAGTTACAAGACTAGTGTTAAACCCAACTTGACCACAAATTGGACCAACACCATATCCCCCTTTAAAAACAGGCATAAAATTTCAGATAAACCCCAGAAACCCTACCCTACTTTCCCATACAACTCTTGGTAAAATACCCCCCGACACTACTAAAGTCACCTTCACTTCACAAAGAGGCAGCCCTTAATAACTTTACAACACATAACAAACATTGACTGGCACACTGAGTAGAAATCTATACAATTTGACGAATGTTTTTAAAAAATTTTTTAAAAAAAGACCCAATACCTTTATAACAAGCACTGCCCAAAAAAATAAGCAATGACACTAAGGACTGAACAGCCCTGGGGAAAACCCCCAGCATTCTCAAAACCAAAATACAAAACACCGTATAAAAAAACGTACAGAAGGGGGAAAACCAAGACCAAACAAAAGTTACTCGTCAACCTAACCAGCCTGATAAGAAGGGGAAAAAAATTGGTTTATGAGAAAGAATTTTAACTTAAGGGGGATATAAAAAAGACTGGAGACCCTTTCGAAATTCGGGAACAAAAAAAATATCCCGCATAGCGAAATAAAATTAGCAAAAAAGATGAACCCCCAAATCCCACCCAAAAAAACACAAACAACTCATGATTTTTTTCTCCACTATAGGTCTAAAAAATTTCCAAAATATCCCCCGCTCAATACCCCACCAAATACTACCTCACGGGGAAAATACCCGAACCACTGTTCCTACTCCGACTAACCCAAGAAGTCTCCCTTATTATCAAGCACTGAAAAAAAAAGGGAGGGGAATTTTTTAAAAACCTTACCCCCCTTTATATACAAAAAAAGCTCACAATACTATCACCATCAGCAACACTCTTTAAAAAAAATCCATTTTCCTCCCCCTTCCCTACAGTTCTCAAAATACAAGGGTTTACCCCGATCCATAAAGGAGGAGACCAAACGGGGTTTAATAACTATAGGCCAATTCCAATTTTTCCCCTCTCTCAAAAAACTTCGAAAAATTAATTCATAAAGAAACCATCCTACCTTACTCCCATAAAAAATCTCAAAAACCCCTTCCCAAATTTTGGGTTCAGGCCCAATAAAAAAAAATAAAGATGCTATTATACACATCTAGAAAAAATTTCCTGCAATATAGAAAAAGAAGTCCCACTGGGGGTCTTCATTAAATTACGTAAACTTTTGTACAGTTGACCCTACTTGCTCCACGTAAAATTTTCACACTATGGTATTAGGGGCACTCCCTTTAACTACCTCAAGTCTTACCTCAGCAACAGAAGCCAATATGTTCCCCAAATGGGAAGCTCTTCCGCAAACCAATTACAGTTTGGGGTCCCACAGGGAAGTTCCTTGCCCTCTTTTCTTCTCCTATACATAAATGACCACCAAATGCTTTGCAATTACTAAACCCACACTTTTTTTCAGATGACACCAATACGCTTCCTCACCCGGCCCTCACCTAGCAAATACGTAAAAACCCGAAAACAGAAAATACTACCTGGATGAGGACAAAAAACTTCACTAAACATTGACAAAAACCCCTTCATTAGTTTTGGTAGCAGAGCTACAGTGTACCCTTAACAAACGAAAAAACGGGTCCCTATACAAAGCTAACAGAGGGGAAAACTTAGGAAACCACCCGATAAAGACCAAATTCATACACATAACAACAAATTTCTAAAAAAATTTCCAAGATGTAGGATACTTCGAAATACGGTATATGTTCCCATCGCCTCCTGGCCCTTTTCCTCTCTTATTTACCCCTATCTCACTATGGAATTTGTGCGGGGCCCCTCAACAAAAAACTAACCATCTCAGACCACAAAATTTCCCAACAAAAGGCTGAGTTAAATGATAACAAATTCTCACTACAGGCGCACACTTTTACCTATTTTTAAAAAACTCAACCTACCACCAACAAAACTCCCCTACTTATTTTTGCATTATTTCAACAAGAACCCCTTAACTCGATATTAACCCTCCCCCAAACATCTCCCTTTCAACCCAACAGAAAAAAATGACCATAATCAAGGCACAATCACCTTTGAGTTCCTCGTTCCCCTCCGCTATGCAAAACTCAAAGCACATAAAAGGCCCTAAAATCTGGAAATTTATTTCCCGTAAATAAAAAAGAAACACACCCCTTTTAAAAATTAAGTCTCTTCTCAAAGTTCACTTACTCACTCAAAACCAAATAAATACTGAATAACTGAGCCATATAAATTGTATATCCTAAATGTTACTCACAATTATATCACACAAATGTTAAACCTAACTTTGTTATTTTTTTAACCCTTTGAGGGTTTTGGTCGTACTAGTACGTCTTACGCGTAGGGGTTTTTGACGTACTAGTACTCATAAATTCTAGCAGCCTCAAATCTAGTGGGAGAAAGCTGGTAGGCCTTCACATGAAAGAATGGGTCTATGTGGTCAGTGTGCACAGTCTAAAAAAAATCCTGCAGCACACAGTGCATAATAAGAAAAAAAAACTTTGACCATTTTTTTTGAATAAATCGGCAACTTTGCAGTGTATTTTCGTATGGTATTTATTGTTGTATTCTAGTTTTCTTGGTCTCATTTTATAGAATGGAAGACATATTACAGAAATTGAGATGATTTTGACTGGTTTTACAATGAAAGGTGCCTTGAAATTGAGCTCAAATTAGCAGAAATGTTCGATTTTTACCAAACTTCAAAAGTAAACAAATCGTGCCAAGCGTGCAATACACGTCAACTGGTGAGTCTAATATTCTTTCACAAGTGCACCAATAATATTTATACCATTTTTTACACTAATGCAGTAGTCTGCATAACAGTAAATCTTATATATTTTGTGAAAATAAAAATTCAAAGTGGAAAGCAAAAGAATATAAGAGGGGCCTTGAGACGTGACTAATGACTAGAGGAAATGTCATTTTAGTGCCAGGAATGTCTTTCTTGTTTATTCTGGACCCTATTCGGAAATTGGCATCTTTTGAAATTTGTGTGAAATTGGCAAAATTGCTAAATTCTGACCACTGTACTGGATAGTTGAATTTCATGGGTGGTTTCTTGCACTCATTCGATAGAAAAAATGGAGTTTTAGCGAAATATTCATGTTTTTTGTCGACTAGTACAGTGAAAATGGGGCTCAAAGTGGGCAAAATCGCCGATGCATAAACATCGCCGAGACCGCTAACTTTGCGAGAGCATAATTCCGTAAGTTTTCTATCAAATTTCAAACTTTTGGTGTCTTTATGATCGGGAAAAGATTCTCTATCTTTTCATAAGAGAAAATAATTTTTTTTTTTTTAAATTTGGCCGACCCTGAGAACGAGTTTCGGAGAGGGCCTGTCGACCCTCAAAGGGTTAAATACACTACCTAACAGAATACTCCATTCTACTGAATGAACAGCAATGCATGCAACCATTGGACCTGTCTTTGTAATACTCATTTGTATTTTATAGTTATCTGTTTACAATAATGTCTTATCACTGATTTCATCATTGCTTAGTTAATCTTAAGTTAATTTTAAGCCAGCCCGTAATGCTATGCATATAAGTGGCTTTGGCATGCTGCTCTTACCTGTATTTTTTGTACCTCTGTTTGTATGCTAAATTTCTAAATAAATAAATAAATAAATAAACCTCCTCAGGTTGTTCTATATGACCCATGTGTGCTTAGTTCTTCTTTTTAATTGAATAATAGTATATGTTCTACATGAACAATATTTATATTTTGTTTTTGCTTAGGTCTTGAGGACACACAATTTATGGGTACTTTAAAAATACATTATGTAGATTTGACCTAGGATAACTCATCAATAGTGCAGCCATGAGTCAAGGGTATACCTTGGGGCACATATTTTGGGGGTTAAAATGAAAAGTTTACATAAAATAAGATTTGTTTGGATTTTTAACCCGGAGGGTTAGTCACCCTGGATAACCCAAGAAAGTCGGTGCATCACTGAGGACTGTCTTGTTTCCCAGGATGTGACCCACACCAGTCAACTAACACCCAGGTACCTACATATTACTAGGTGAACAGGAGCAGTAGGTATAAGGAAACAGGCCCAATGTTTCTACTTGATCTGGTATTGAACCACGGACATTTAGTGTATGAGGCAAGAGTGTTGCTTGCTGAGCCACCAAGCCTCCTATCTAATGGCCAAAAATATACCAGTTTGGTAAATTGTTTATGGGTGTGGATAAAATTGTGAGCCAGCTTCATATGAAAAATGCTCAATTAATTGTAATCTGCAGGCTGGCAAGATGTACATGAAGGGGCAGATGGTTCACCCTGACAAAAGGAAGGGTTTGGTATATCTCTACCAAGCTGATGACTCCCTCATGCATTTCTGCTGGAAGGACCGTGGCACTGGCACTGTTGAGGAGGTAAGAAGTGGAGTCTTAGTGTTTGAAAGCAAGAATATTGTTTGGTATTTTGCCAACTAAAATTTAATTATAAAAATAAATTTGGCAAAACTGTTGCATAGAATATATAACTTTTTTGTGATTCAGTTATTGCATGAGTGATATGAACTCTTCATACCCTTCTCTCCTGCATAAACTCCTGTGCTAAAGCTCGTTATGTGTACAGGATGGTAACATTATTCTCAACTATTCATTAATAAAGTAATTGTCATAACATACTACTAAAACGTATTCTCCATATTTTAACCTGTGGACGAAATTGTAATAATTTTGTAATAGTCAGCTACACTGCTGCAGGTGCAGCAGTATACATGTAGTTAAAAAGAAAACTTTGAATTAATGATAAATAAAGACTATAGACCAATAAGCCTATAGACCAATAAGCCTTACCTTCATAGTGGGAAAATTTATGGAATCAATAATTGCAGAAGCAATTCATAGCCATCTTCACAGGCACAGATTGATTAATGAATCTCAACACGGTTTTACAAAGGGGCGTTCCTGTCTTACGAATTTACTAACTTTTTTCACTAAGGTGTTTGAGGAGGTAGATCATGGTAATGAATATGATATTGTGTATATGGACTTCAGTAAGGCTTTCAATAGAGTTCCACACCAGAGGCTATTGAGGAAACTTAGGGCACACGGAATAGGAGGAGAAATTTTTTCCTGGGTAGAGGCATGGCTGACAAATAGACAGCAGAGAGTTTGCATAAATGGAGAGAAATCAGAATGGGGGCACATCACAAGCAGTGTTCCTCAGGGGTCAGTGTTGGGCCCGTTGTTGTTCACAATTTACATAAACGACATAGATGAGGGAATAAATAGCAACATAAGCAAATTTGCGGATGACACCAAAATAGGCCGTCCAATTCATTCTAATGAAGACATTAGAGCACTCCAGGATGATTTGAATAGACTGACGCAATGGTCTGAGAAGTGGCAGATGCAGTTTAATATTGACAAATGCAAAGTTCTAAATGTTGGACAGATAAATAACCATGCCCCATATAAACTAACTAAATAATGTAGACCTTAATACTACTGATTGCGAAAAGGATTTAGGAGTTCTGGTTAGCAGTAACCTAAAACCAAGACAACAGTGCATTAGTGTTCGCAATAAAGCTAACAGAATTCTTCAACTCTTTATATCCTTGGTTAGGCCTCATTTAGACTATGCTGCTCAGTTCTGGTCACCGTATTGCAGAATGGATATAAATGCTCTGGAAAACGTACAAAGGAGGATGACAAAGATGATCCCATGTATCAGAAATTTTCCCTATGAGGATAGACTGAGGGCCCTGAATCTGCACTCTCTCGAAAGGCGTAGAATTAGGGGGATATGATCGAGGTGCATAAATGGAAAACAGGAATAAATAAAGGGGATGTAAATAGCGTGCTGAAAATTTCCAGCCATGACTCGCAGCAATGGTTTCAAGTTGGAAAAATTCAGATTCAGGAAGGATATAGGAAAGCACTGGTTTGGTAATAGAGTTGTGGACGAGTGGAACAAACTCCCGAGTACAGTTATTGAGGCTAAAACGTTGTGTAGTTTTAAAAATAGGTTAGATAAATACATGAGTGGGTGCAGGTGGGTGTGAGTTGACCTGACTAGCTTGTGCTGCTGGGTCTGGTGCAGATGTCCATCCTTGAGTGGAGATGACCAGGCTGGGTGGGTCATTGGGATAATCTGGGGGTGGGTCATTGGTCTAATCCGGGGGTGAAACATGGACCTGCTCCGCTTGGGTCAGTAGGCCTGTTGCAGTGTTCCTTCTTTCTTATGTTCTTGTAATATATATAAAAGTAGAATTAGACTTAATTGCAATATGACAACTTAGAATGCACTTTTTTTTTTTTTTTTTTTGAGACATAAGAGTCTTCAACCGACTTTTTTGTGAACTCATATTTTTTACTGCTCTTTTCAATATATTTTTCTTGTACAAGAAAAGTAAATAGATAGAAGTGACTGGCAGCAAGTGGTTTTTATAATTTGACATGCTGTTGGAGTGTGAAGAAGATTAGCTGGACTTGAGTCTTGGAAGTGGGAAGTACAGTGCCTACACTCTGAAGGAGTGTTAGGGATGTTAGAGTTTGGAGGGGCATCTGAACTGTAATGTCTGCACACTTACGACAAAACAGTGGAAGTGTTTTCTTCTTTGTTGGGTCACCGTACCTTGGGTGGAGACAGCTAAGTGTTAATAAAAATGCTGATGATAATATAATAATACTATAATAATTATGATAATTTAATCTCTTGTATCTTACTTTTCCTGTGTTGAATGGAGAGAGAGAGAGAAAGATTTAATTTTAAAAAATTATTTTAGTGTACCATCTTCAGTATTTGAATAAAATACTGGGAAAACTACATTTGGTCACCATAATGTAAGCAAACAAAGAGGTGTCATATTTTGCAAGTACATGATGTGCTGCTTACTGCTTGCAGATGTTTATTATTTTGTGGAATGCAGTAATTGAATGGGATCAAGGCTGGCATGCATGAATTTGGAACACTGTCTTTCATTTTCAGGATCTGATCATATTCCCTGATGACTGTGAATATAAACGTGTTGCACAGTGCACCACTGGCAGAGTTTACGTGCTTAAGTTTAAATCGTCTAGCAGGCGGCTTTTCTTCTGGATGCAGGTAAATAAGTGAGTTTGTGTGTGGAAGTGTGTAGAGTCCTACAGGTAAATGTGGTGATAAAAGCGTATACTATACTTTAAAACAGACTTCACAAACCATACCACAGGCAGGGCTTGAACTCATAGCCAGAGAGTCTTAAAACTTCAGACCAACTTCACGAGTTAGACCACATAATTTAGAACTAGTTATCATTGAAGTAAATACTGTACTAGCTTGAGAGGGGCTTTTGTATCTGTAGTTAATGGTGTGAAATTAAAATTTTTGGAGAATTGGCAATAAATTATATTTAGTGTGCTTTAGGATATACCAACATCAGTGTATACACTGAAATGCAATTATTATTTTTTTGTTTAGTTGTGCATTATGTGAATTAGAAAAACTTTTGCAACAAAACAGTGTAAAACTCAAAACCAGTACATTAACTGGGCTTGTAAATCACATCTTGAGCATAGGTCAAGACTAAGAACAGAAAAATAAACTGGCACAAATAGGTGGAGTAGAATAAGAAGTTTAGAAACACACAACACAACAGTGCAGGAATAAACTGCTGCCATTCGGTAATTCTATAATTGAGGTCAGTGGTTAGAAACATAATGGTGTAACACCACAGATAATTTGCCTGTTTTGTAGTTCTTCACTCATATGTGACTATTACAGTTCAAACCATTGCTTGTCTCCTGGTACGACAATATTTCCAAGGATGGCTAGAGCCAGCCGATTAGCTGTTTCTTGTTACAGGAGTAGTTTGTTTATAGTTTGAATTTATTAGAGAATAATTTACCAAGTGTATAGAATATTAGAAGAAACTAAACAAGGACACATTTTTTGTTATTTGTGATACAGTCATGTTATGGTTTTTAAATCTGGTTTTCTTAACCTCCAGGAGCCCAAGACTGACAAAGACGATGAGCAATCACGCAAGGTAAATGAGTTACTCAATAATCCCCCAGCTCCAGGATCACAACGCTCTTCTGGATCAACTCCAAATCCTGCTCTAGGATCAGAAATAACCAATCTGCGTGACTCAGATATTCAAAATCTCTTTGGAAACATTTCTCAGCAACAGCTGATGCAAATTTTAGGAAGTGGAATGTCTAGTTTGGCCACACTGCTTGGTCCAGGGTTAGTTTAGCTAGTGTACATATTGTATGTTTAAGGGGTTTGTTGTGTTGGCTTTTATGAAAGAATGTTGATAATTAGTGAATTTTAGCTGTTATTTATAAAAAAAATTTTTGAGTCCTGTTTCAAGTCAAATTCTTAGCTATTTTGCTAGTGTGCCTTCCTTTCTGTCAAGTGGGCACATGAAACCACCCATTCAACTATCAGAACTACACTGTTCACAACAAATTACCAACTTCTGTGCACTATAAAGTGCACAGAAGCTCCTGGCCCTGCCTCTCAACTTGCCGCTTGCCAGATTCACTCAAAGGCTTGTGGGCCCTATTGTACCTATTCTTAAAACCACGTATGGAATCTGCTGCCACTGCATCTTCGTTGAAGTCATTCCACTTCTGACTACCCTGAGACTAAAGAAATATTTCTTGACATCCCTTTGACTTATCTGTTCCCTTGAGTACCAATTTACCACATTAGTTCCTCTGAGTATTTTGTGTGTTGTCATTATGTCTTCCCTGGTCCTTCTGTCCTTCAAGTTCATTAGATTCAATTCCTTTAGCCTTGCCTCGTAGCTCATACTCCTTAGCTCTGGAACTAACCTCATTGCATACTTCTGGACTTTCTCTAGTTTCTTAATGTGTTTCCTTAGGTGTGGTTTCCATACTTGTGCTGTGTATTCCAAGATGGGCCTGATATATGTTCCTAACCTAGAATGACTTTGCCAGGCGAGCATTGGTTGCAGAGTTATTCGGTTGATGTGAGCCTCTATCGATATGGTAGGCACTATGCTTACTCCCAAGTCCTCATTGAGTGACATCTGTAGCCTATCTCCAGAGCCTATTCTCTGTGTCTGTTCTTCTGGTCCCTTCTCAATCTTCATAACCCTGCGGTAGTTGGGTTGAATTCAAGCAACTACTTGTCTGACCAATTCTGCAGTTTATCTAATCTTTATGCAGCCTTTCCCAGTCCTCATCTGTTTGTATTCTCCTCAGTAGTTTTATATCACTGGCTGTAGCCCTTTGACTGTTTTCGACGTATAAATACGTCTTACGAGCCAATGTTTCTGACGTATATATACTCAATAATTCTAGCGGCTTCAAATCAAGTGGGAGAAAGCTGGTAGGCCCACATGTGAGAGAATGGGTCTGTGTGGTCAGTGTGCACCACATAAAAAAAAATCCTGCAGCACACATTGTGTAATGAGAAAAAAAAAACTCTGATCGTTTTTTTGGAATAAAACGCCGACTTTGAGGTGTATTTTCGTATAGTATTTATCGTTGTATTTGCGTTTTCATGGTATTAGGTGATAAAATGGAAAACATATTACAGAAATAGAGATGATTTTCCTTACTTTTATGATGAAAACGACCTTGAAACTGAGCTCAAAGTAGCGGAAATGTTCGATTTTTACCAATGTTCAAGAGTAAATAAATCACACCACACGTCCAATACACGTCAACTGGGGAGTCTAATATTCTTTCACTAGTGCACTGATATTATTTATACCATTTTTGCAATAATGCAGTCGTCTGCATAACAGTAAATTTTGTATTTTTTTGTATGAATAAAAAATCAAAATAGAAAGCAATAATAATATAAGAGGGGCCTAGAGATGTGACTAATGAACAGAGCATATGTTATTTTAGTGCCACGAATGTCTAACTTGTTTATTCTGGACGCTATTTTGAAATTGGCATCTTTTTTATTTTGCGTGAAATTGGCCAAATTGCCAATTTCTGACCAAATTAGTAAATTAGTAAATGGGAGGTTTCTTTTACTCAGCTGATAGATAAAATGGAGTTCTAAAGAAATAGCTATGAGTTTGGTCAACTGGAACACTGGAATTGGCTGAAAATTGGGCTCAAAGTTGGCGAAATCGCCGATACGCATATGTCGCCGAGACCGCTAACTTTGCGGGAGCATAATTCCACGAGTTTTCGACCAAATTTCGAACTTTTGGTGTCATTACCATCGGGAAAAGATTCTCTATCGTTTCATAAGAAAAAATAATTTTTTTTTTTTCAAAAATTGAGCGACATAGAATGACAGTTTCAGAGAGGGGCCTGAAACAGTCAAAGGGCTAGAGATATATCTGACTCAGTTCCATCTGGTATGTCTTTCACATAAACCAGAAACAGCACTGGTCCTAATACTGACCCTTGTAGTACACTGCTTGTTACTCTTCCCCATTCTGACATCTCTTCTGGAACAGTCACTCTTTGCTTCCTTTCCCTAAGGTACTCTTCAGTCCACTTCTTGATTGGAGCAAATGGAGGCAAGTGGTATTTAGAGTTTGATGTGCTTTTTGTGTATGAACAAGGAGATTCAAGGAATTCAGTGAGTTAGTCTCGAGTCCTGTAGATGGGAAGTACAGTGCCTTCACCCTGAAGCAGGGAAAGGGATGTTATATTCCAGAGGTGCATATGAATTGTGATGACTGTGTGCTTGTGGCAAAAGAGCTGTTGAATGAATGGTAGTGAATGTACAGTATCTCCTTTTGGGTTGCCCTGCCTTGGTGGAGGCTGGCCAGTGTGGTTTCATAATAAATGCTCTTAAGTATTCTTCATTAAAAGCACTGAATTAGTATTAGGTTATAGTGGTTGTTAAATTTTAGAAAACAATATTTTACTAGCCAACTTTATTTTTTTCATTTATTGTTTCAGTTGGCCTAAAGCTTGCTGTTAGATATGGAATCACAGATTAATATTTAATCATTTTAGTTTTAGTAATAAAGTTGGTAGAATTACCGACAATATGTAAAGTAAAGGGACACAAGTGCAAATAATGGGGCATTTTTATTGTGGCAACATTTCGCTCTCCAGGCTTGACAAAGCTCCTGGAGAGCAAAACGTTGCCACAATAAAAATGTCACATTAGTTGCACTTGTGTCCTTTTACTTTACATTTTAGTTTTACCCAAACATTTTGTCTTAATGGTTTAGTAGCATCACATAAATATGGCAAGTTTGTGGCAGTCAACTTTCATGTTGTACAGTATCCCAAAATTTGGCAAAATTTATCTTGTCTATTGTTTTTTCTATTTTTTTTCCTTTCCATAGCACACATTTCACTGGATGCATTTTTTTTTCCCCAACAAGTTGGCCGTCTCCCACCAAGGCAGGGTGACCCAAAAAGAAAGAAAATCCCCAAAAAGAAAATACTTTCATCATCATTCAACACTTTCACCTCACTCACACACAATCACTGTCTTTGCAGAGGTACCCAGATACAACAGTTTAGAAGCATATATAAAGATATATAACATACCTTTCCAAACTGCCAGTATCCCAAACCCCTCCTTTAAATTTGCAGGCATTGTACTTCCCATTTCCAGTACTCAAGTTCGGCAGTATAAAAATAGCCCGTTTCCCTGAATCCTTTCACTAAATATTACCCTGCTCACACTCCAACAGCTTGTCAGGTCCCAAAAACCATTCATCTCCATTCACTCCTATTTAACACGCTCACACATGCTAGCTGGAAGTCCAAGCCCCTCGCCCACAAAACTTCCTTTACCCCCTCTCTCCAGCCTTTTCTAGGATGACCCCTACCCCGCCTTCCTTCCCCTACAGATTTATACGCTCTCCAAGTCATTCTACTTTGATCCATTCTCTCTGAATGACCAAACCACCTCAACAACCCCTCTTCAGCCCTCTGACTAATACTTTTAGTAACTCCATACCTCCTCTTAATTTCCACACTCCAAATTCTCTGCATAATATTTACACCACACATTGCCCTTAGACAAATGTTTATTAAAAAAAAATGTTCTTGGATCAATTCTGTTACACTGCTTATTATTGAGGCATCAGCACACACTATTATTGTATCAGTAATTGGCAGGAAGTTTTTAATGAGGATTCATAATGCATTCATATTATTTGATCATCATTTTTCCTTGAATTGTGTCCAGTAGGTCTGGCAGTGGAGGGGGTCGAAGTGGTAGTGGGAGTAGCAGCTCAACTTCAGCTACTACCACAGCTTCCACTACTCCAGCCGCTACTACTACTCCAACACCGGCACCGACTCCTGCTCAGGGTAGGTACAGTATTATGTTGATGTTTACTTTGATTTATAGCTACTCTTAAAAATTAGCTTCTGTATACTGTACAACACTTCTTCAGGACCATTGATATTTTCCATTTGAACAAAACTCTCCTTATATTCCTTCCCTGTACAACCTTACCTCCCTATTTCCATTTTGTAATACATTGTCATCCCTCCTTAGTTCTCGAGGCTTCTATTCTATCCTAGAAAACACCCTTAGTAATATATTGTCTTTCATTGCTGCAACCATCATCAATGATCTGATGGTCTTTCTTGTATATTTAGGTTTTCTGTAGTAAGATCTTTTTTTTATTTTTTTAAGCCCTACCAGTAGTAAAAAAAAAAAAATTACCCCGCCAACTCCATCTTACTTCTCATTCCACTCGCCTTCTCTTCACTTGTCTCGCCCACAGCACCTCACATTGGTGCTACTGTATAGAGTAAATCCTCGCTATAACAGACTTAACATTATAGGCAAAATCCACTGGTTAAATTGTACTTGTAACTCCTATATTGCCAATGTTTATTGTAGTATATCTATAAAGTGTGTACAGTACTATATTAGTTATATACAGTAGACCATTTAACACGGTAGTTACATTCCTGAAAACACCATGTTAGTTAAAACCGTGTTAGACAGACTGAAGAACTTTTAGTCCATTATAACAAGGGCATACTGTATTGCCATGTCCACACAGTATACTAAGATTCTTAAGCTTTTATCTTATCATACTTCTCGTTCTTTCACCCCTAATGAAGTGAATAATTTTTATTTTGGTGTGTAACCTTAAAAGAAGTATGACCCTCACCAGGGGGCCATGCTACTTGCTTTTTTCCAGTAGACAAAAGGTGCTTAGGTTGAGTTAGGTAGGATTTGTCAGAAAACAGGACAAGTGTTTCCTGACATGGGTCTGAGTCATACGATGACCCACCACTGGAACTTTTAGTCATCTGACCGAGGCCTTCCACTGGCTTACTGGTCCACCGCATAAAAATTATAGTTATGATTATAACCATAGTGCTTGTAAGAACAAAACTAGTTTGTGTTCACTATTTGCTTCAGATTTATCATGCATTGACTGGAACTTAGTGCAACTTTTTCTTTTCTTGTACTGTATTTTTAGAACTTTCCAAACAGCATTTTAATCCACTTTTATCATAAATGGGGGCATTTTAAATTTTAAACTCATCATGCAAGAGAGAGTCTAAAAATGTTTTGAAAATGGCTAATTTTTATAGCACACACATAAGAACATAAGAAAGGAGGAACACTGCAGGAGGCCTGTTGGCCCATACTAGGCAGGTCCTTTACAATTCATCCCACTAACAAAACATTTGCCCAACCCAATTTTCAATGCCACCCAAGAAATAAGCTCTGATGTGAAAGTCCCACTCAAATCCAACCCCTCCCACTCATGTACTTATCCAACCTAAATTTGAAACTACCCAAAGTCCCAGCCTCAATAACCCAACTAGGTAGACTGTTCCAATCATCAACTACCCTATTTCCAAATCTAAACGTTATCTAATTTAAATTCCATTACTGCGGGTTCTCTCTTGGAGAGACATCCTCAAGACCTTATTAATATCCCCTTTATTAATACCTATCTTCCACTTATACACTTCGATCAGGTCTCCCCTCATTCTTCGTCTAACAAGTGAATGTAACTTAAGAGTCTTCAATCTTTCTTCATAAGGAAGATTTCTAATGCTATGTATTATTTTAGTCATCCTACGCTGAATGTTTTCTAATGAATTTATGTCCATTCTGTAATATGGAGACCAAAAACTGAGCTGCATAATCTAGGTGAGGCCTTACAAAATGATGTATAAAGCTGCAGTATGACCTCTGGACTTCTGTTGCTTACACTTCTTGATATAAATCCCAGTAATCTATTTGCCTTATTACGTACGCTTAGGCATTGCTGTCTTGGTTTAAGGTTGCTGCTCACCATAACCCCCAAGTCCTTTTCGCAATCTGTATGGCTAAGCTCTACATCATTTAACTTATAAGTACTAGGGTTATGGGCACTACCAAGCTTCAGAACCTTGCATTTATCTACATTGAACTGCATCTGCCACTTTTCTGACCAAGAATAGAGCTTGTTTAAATCCTCCCGAAGTTCCATAACATCTACGTTTGAATCAATTATCCTACCAATCTTTGTGTCATCGGCGAATTTGCTCATATCACTAGTAATTCCCTCGTCAAGATCATTGATATATATTATAAACAACAACGGGCCCAAGACTGATCCCTGTGGAACGCCACTTGTTACAGATCCCCACTCGGATTTAACCCCATTTATGGACACACACTGCTTCCTGTCAGTGAGCCATGACTCGATCCACGAGAGCACTTTTCCCCCAATGCCATGAGCTGCCACTTTCTTTAACAGTCTATGGTGTGGAACTCTATCAAAAGCCTTTCTAAAATCTAAGTAAATAATATCAAATTCTTTATCGTGGTCAACAGCCTCAAAAGCTTTACTGAAGAAAATTAATAAATTAGTTAGACAAGACCGGCCTCTTGTGAATTTCCATGCTGAGTATCATTAATCAAGCTATGCTTATCGAGATGGGGTTCTTATAATCTCAGCTATAATTGACTCTAGTAATTTCCTACAATTGAGGTCAGGCTTATTGGGCGGTTATTTGACGGTAACGACTTGTCCCCTTTTTAAAAATAAAGGGAAATTACATTAGCCATCTTCCACATATCAGACACTACACCTGTTTGAAGAGATAAATTAAAAATATTAGTTAATGGTTCACAGAGTTCCATTTTGCATTCCTTAAGAACCCTTGAAAAAACCTCATCAGGACCCGGCGACTTATTTTGCTTCAGTCTGTCTATCTGCTTCACAACCATTTCACTAGTGACTGTGATGTTACATAATTTATCCTCTTCTAGCCCACTATAAAAATTAATTACTGGAATATTGTTAGTGTCTTCCTGTGTAAAAACTGAGAGAAAATAATTATTTAAAATCGAGCACATTTCATTCTCTTTGTCAGTAAGGTGCCCATAGTTATTTTTAAGGGGACCTATCTTATCTCTAACTTTTGTTCTATAGACCTGGAAAAAACTTTTTGGGTTAGTTTTAGAATCCCTAGCAACTTTAATTTCATAGTCCCTTTTAGCTTTTCTTATCCCCTTTTTAATGTCCCTCTTAATGTCAATATACTGATTCATAAGATGACCCTCACCTCTTTTGATACGCCTATAAATTCCTTTCTTATGCCCTAGTAGATATTTGAGCCTATTATTCATCCATTTTGGGTCATTTCTATTTGATCTAATTTCTTTATATGGGATAAACGTTCTTTGAGCAGCATGTATAGTGTTCAGAAAACTGTCATATTGATAGCTCTCTTCGTTACCCCAGTCAACAGATGATAAGTGTTCTCTAAGCCCATGGTAATCTGCTAAGCAAAAATCTGGAACTGTTACTGAGTTGTCCCTACTATCATACTTCCATTCTATGCTAAAGGTAATTGATTTGTGGTCGCTAGCACCCAGTTCCTCTGAAATTTCTAAATTATTAACAAGGGATTCATTGTTTGCCATAACTAAGTCAAGCAGGTTATTTCCCCTTGTAGGTTCTGTCACAAACTGCTTCAAAAAACAATCCTGAACTACTTCTTAGAAGTCGTATGATTCTAAATTCCCAGTCAAGAAATTCCAATCAATATGACTAAAGTTAAGTCTCCTAGAATTACTACATTATCGTGCCTTGTGGCCTTAACAATTTCCTCCCATAGTAGTCTCCCTTGGTCCCATTCTAAGTTTGGGGGACGGTATATCACTCCTAAAATCAGTTTTTCATGCCCCTCTGAAAATTCTATCCAAACAGACTCTGTATGTGTTACTTCAGACTTAATACCCGTTTTTATGCAACAGTTCAAGCGATCTCGGACATACAGTGCCACCCCACCCCCCTTCCCAATACTTCTATCTACTTGGAACAATTTAAAGCCCTGAATATGACATTCCTCAGGCATGTCCCAACTTTTTGAATTAAACCACGTCACAGTTAAGGCAAATACATCAATGTTACCTGCACTAGCAACTAATCTCAACTCGTCCATCTTATTCCTAGCACTACGGCAATTAGCATAATAAACATTGAAAGACCCTCCTCTCTCTTTACCCTTCCTGCTCATTTCTGTTTTTCTACTAAACCTATTACTGTCCTTATCACCCAAAGTCCCTGGCTTTTCAATATCTACCTCGTTCTGCTTATTACTAGTTCCCATAGAACTCGTAATATTACTACACTGGGACTTCACTGTTTTCCTGCCAAAACCCATACCACTAACTATTCCTAGTTTAACCCTTTGACTGTTTTCGACGTAAAAATACGTCTTACGAGCCAATGTTTCTGACGTATATATACTCAATAATTCTAGCGGCTTCAAATCAAGTGGGAGAAAGCTGGTAGGCCCACATGTGAGAGAATGGGTCTGTGTGGTCAGTGTGCACCACATAAAAAAAATCCTGCAGCACACATTGCCTAATGAGAAAAAAAAACTCTGATCGTTTTTTGGGAATAAAACGCCGACTTTGAGGTGTATTTTCGTATAGTATTTATCGTTGTATTCATGTTTTCATGGTCTTGGGTGATAAAATGGAAAACATATTACAGAAATAGAGATGATTTTCATTACTTTGACGATGAAAACGACCTTGAAACTGAGCTCAAAGTAGCGGAAATGTTCGATTTTTACCAATGTTCAGGAGTAAATAAATCACACCACACGTCCAATACACGTCAACTGGGGAGTCTAATATTCTTTCACTAGTGCACTGATATTATTTATACCATTTTTACAATAATGCAGTAGTCTGCATAACAGTAAATTTTGTATTTTTTTGTATGAATAAAAAATCAAAATAGAAAGCAATAATAATATAAGAGGGGCCTAGAGATGTGACTAATGAACAGAGCATATGTTATTTTAGTGCCACGAATGTCTACCTTGTTTATTCTGGACCCTATTTTGAAATTGGCATCTTTTTTAGTTTGCGTGAAATTGGCCAAATTGCCAATTTCTGACCACCATATTGGGTAGTCCAAATTAGTAAATGGGAGGTTTCTTGTACTCAGCTGATAGATAAAATGGAGTTCTAAAGAAATAGCTATGAGTTTGGTCAACTGGAACAATGGAATTGGCTGAAAATAGGGCTCAAAGTCGGCGAAATCGCCGATACGCATATGTCGCCGAGACCGCTAACTTCGCGGGAGCATAATTCCATGAGTTTTCGACCAAATTTCGAACTTTTGGTGTCATTACCATCGGGAAAAGATTCTCTATCGTTTCATAAGAAAAATAATTTTTTTTTTTTTTCAAAAATTGAGCGACATAGAATGACAGTTTCAGAGAGGGGCCTGAAACAGTCAAAGGGTTAAAGTCCTAACTGCTCCCTCCACTGCAGTTGCCAGTGCTACCACCCCAGACCTAGATAAGTGAACCCCATCCCTGGCATACATGTCATTTCTGCCATAGAAGAGGTCCCAGTTGTCAATGAATGTTACCACATTTTCCTTACAGTATTTGTCCAGCCAGCAATTGACACCAATTGCCCTGGAGAACCATTCATTTCCAACTCCTCTCCTTGGCAAAATACCACATATGACAGGGTTCCCACCCTTACTCCTAATTATTTCTATTGCTGACCTATACCTGCTAATCAGGTCTTCACTCCTACGTCTGCCAACATCGTTGCCTCCAGCACTGAGACAGATAATAGGATTGCTCCCATTACCTCTCATGATGTCATCCAGATGGCTAACAATATCCTCCATCCCTGCCCCAGGAAAGCAAACTCTGTCTCCTACTCCTGTCCTTCAAGCAGAACGCCCTATCCATATACCTAACTTGGCTATCCCCAACAACAACAATATTCTTACCTTCCTTAATGTCTTTCGTTGTGGAGTTCCCAGTAGTCGACTCACATTCGTCGGGTAGCACTGAGAATGTATTAGATGTTTCCACAACAGTTTCCACGGCACTCTCTTTCTTCTTCATCGTTTCTACCTTTCCATTCGTCTTCTTGATCGTCAACTTCGTTCCCTGCTGTCCAGCCACTGACCAGTTTCCCTTCTTGACCTGAGGACTCAAAACAGGAGGACTACTACGAATCTTCTTGTTTTCCTCGGTCAGTCGCCGAATCTCCATCTTCGCCATCCTCAATTCTTCCTTAAGCTGTTGGTAAAGTTGCTCGATGGAGGGCATCTTGCTTCAATTCGTAGAGAGTGCGCAAACAGGTCTTCACAGAGCTAAGTACACGTCACCACTGCGCAAAAGCCAACTCAATCAGGAGCTACTGCGCAGCACGTCCTCACTGCCCAATAGTGATGCGAACACTTGGACATAAATGTTCTAAACTTAAAAAAAAAAAAAATTGATGTAGTCATTGTTGAAGTGCAAGTTTCGTGCAGAAATCTTTCCACATCCTTTTATGTAAAATGATTGGTATGGTTTGTTTAACCTTGTAATATGGATTATTCAGGTATGCTTCATACATGGCTATGGAAGCCTTCATTCAGTAGGCCTTTTATTTTTATTTCAGTAAACACCAAGTTAGTTACATTAATTTTTTCAGATTCTTCTAAAGCAGGGAGCACTAGTCTGGAAAGTAGTAGTGGTGGTACTAGCAGTGGCACTCCTAGCAGTGGCAGTGTTGTACCCATTCAGTTGTCTGATTTACAGAACATACTTTCTGGGATCTCTGTTCCACCTGATGTATCTGGCTCTCCCAGGGTTGCAGGTAAGACAAGCTAGATAAACTTTTAAGAAGGGCTATGAAATTACTAAGGTTATCAGTTTAATAGTGGACACTAGGAGCAATGTTTATTTCATGGGGTCTAGACAGTGAAAGAATTAAGTACTCAGTGTCCACATTTAAAAAAAAAAAAAAGTCATAAATAGTAAAGAATCTTTCTGAAAGTAATGAGACCAAGAATACAAAATTTGATAGCAAACTTACGGAATTATGCAGGTGCAGTTTCATTCTATAATACAGTAAGTCCTCACATAACGTCATCGATAGGTTCTTGAAAACTGCAGCTTTAGGTGAAATGACATATAACAAAGCCAGTTTTACCATAGGCTAATTAATATCAACAAAACTTCTAGTTTTATTTCTAATGTTACACTTTGTCTTTCTTGTGGCTACAGACATCAGAGGTGCACAGTGCACCTTTAGCACTCATTGCAACAGGGTTACCATAAATCAAGGAATAAATGTTTGCAAAGTGAAAATTATAAGGAATATCTACCACCACGCAGTTTAAAAACAAGCAGTAATAAAGATGGCAGATATAATTATCACATACTTTACGAATTTTTATTTTACAATAATTTGTATTCATTGTATTCATTCAATTTCTTTCTCATCAGTGTTATAACAATAAGACATTGAATGAAATGACGTTATTAGAGGACCTACTGTACTATGTTACCATATTCATGATAACATAGTATTTCCATATACACTGGACCCCCGGTATTCGATATTAATCCTTTCCTGAGAGCTCGTCGAATACCGATAATATCGAAAACCGAATCAATTTTCCTCATAAGAAATAATGAAAATCAAATTAATCCGTGCAAGACACCCAAAAGTATGAAAAAAAAAATTTTACTACGTGAAATATTAAGTTTAATGCAATAGAATAATTACGATAACAATAAAATAATTGACACTTACCTTTAATGAAGATCTGGTGATGATTGATGGGATGGAAGGAGGGGAGAGGTGTTAGTGTTTAGAAGGGGAATCCCCTTCCATTAGGACTTGAGGTAGCAAGTCCTTTTCCAGGGTTACTTCCCTTCTTCTTTTAATGCCACTAGGACCAGCTTGAGAGTCACCGGACCTCTGTCGCACAACAAATCTGTCCATAGAGCTCTGTGCCTCCCGTTCCTTTACGATTTGTCTAAAATGGGCCACAACATTGTCATTGTAATAGCTGTGTTAGGGTGATTTTCATCCATAAAGGTTTACACTTCAACCCACTGTGCACACATTTCCTTAATTTTTGAAGTAGGCACAATGTATTCCACAACTGGTATAGGCTTCTCAGGGTTTGCCCCAAACCCTTCAAAATCTTTCTTAATTTCCATACTAATTCTCACCCTTTTTACCACAGGGTTGGCACTAGAAGCTTTCTTGGGGCCCATGGTGACTTATTTTGCAGAAACAAACACCAAACACAGTGATAATATGGATAATATGGAATGTACTGAATGTATCCTTAGATGCGCGCACACTGGCTGGCTTGTAAACACTGGCACACAAGGGGCAGTTCAGGCCACATGTGGACAGGTCTCGTACGAATCGTATCGAATACCGGGTTTTCAATCGAATACCGAGGAAATTTTTTTGCGATATAATGCATCAAATACCGGATTTATCGAATACCGATGCCATTGAATACCGGGGGTCCACTGTAATAAATAATCCCATGTTTGAATTTATGAGTATGCATTGAAGGAAAAGTTAAAAAGAGGGATGTAGTTCTTAGTCTACAACAAATTCCAAAGTTGCCATCACATTTTAATATGATATTCCAGCCACTTTATTATATGGTACCTAAATTCAAACCAAGTCACTAAAATTATACATTGAGGTTCCAAGAATGTGAATTAATTTTTTGTTACCTCTCAAAAGTTGACTTGAGTCCAGCCATGACTGCAGAAGCCCTTCAGCCTATATTGACGAATGAAGAGTTCGTGAACCAGCTTCGTCCATACCTTCCTGCAACTTCTGATGAATTACCTCCCACTGAGCAACTTAGGGGAACAGTCACTTCTCCTCAATTCCAACAGGTATAATTCTTTTTCCTTGGCTTCCATAGACTGTGCTGTAAGTAGTGTCACTTCATATTTTTAACAGCATCTGTTTCTTACCATAGCAGTGACCCCAAAAAAGAAAATACATTTTTTTTTTTTTAACACATTGGCCGTATCCCACCGAGGCAGGGTGACCCAAAAGAGAAGAAACTCACCATTACTTACTCCATCACTGTCTTGCCATAGGCATGCTGATACTAGAGTTCAAAAACTGCAACATATCTCCACCCCTGCTTCATAGTACAGGCACTGTACTTCTTACCTCTAGGACTCGAGTCTGGCTAACTGGTTTCCCCAAATCCCTTCGTAAATGTTAGTGCTCACACTCCAGCAACACAACAAGCCATAAGAACCACTTTCCTCCACTCACTCCTATCTAACATGTTCATGCACACTTGCTAAATAATGAAAGGAATAAAGAAAAAGCCTATCAAATGGTTTATTAGGATTCTAAATAGGGAACAGATAGAAAGAAATCTAATTCACCCCAAAATCATTTGCTCCATTTGAAGTAAATGGCAAGAAGTGATTTTTGGAATTAGATGTGCTATTATAGTGTGAGCATTTTGTGTTGTATTCATGAAGGTATTTAGGGAAACCAGCATAGATGACCTAAAAATGAGTAACTGAATAGCTTTCTTGAAACTTTTTTTTAGCAGTTTACTGCCATATCTTATAAGAAGCGACAATTGAACTACTGTACTTGAATCAATCACTATACTTCATATGTATATATTATGTACTAGTAAAGCTCTTTGTTTTTCAGGCAGTAAGCTTGTTCAGCAGTGCACTTCAGTCAGGCCAGCTAGGTCCTCTAATCAACCAGTTTGGTCTTGGTGAGGATGCTGTTTTGGCTGCCTCCTCATGTGACATGGAAGCATTTATTAAGGTTTGTTACTTGTGGCAGTGCAGATCATTGTTATGCAGAGAGAAGGGGTGAAGAAATTAGAAGATAGCGTGGTAGTATGAACAATGTTCAATGAGTGGCAGAGGGTGCATTGAGATGGTTTGGTCATTTAGAGAGGATGCAGCAAAGGTTGGAAGAGGGTGTATAAATATATCTGGGATGGATAGAAAGAGGTTCAGGGGACATTTGAGGAAGGGTAAAAAGGAGGTTTTGAGAGGTGTGAACTTGAGCGTCCATCAGGAATGTGTTAATGAAGTGAAGGATAGAATGTGGCTTTTGGGATTGAATATGCTGTTGTAGTGTGAACATGGTAATTGTATGAAGGGGAAACTAGTTAGCTGGACTTAGGTTTTGGTGGTGGGAAGTGTGGTACCTGCACCGTGAAGGATGGACAGAGTTGTGGTTTGTTCAAAGTCGCAAACTCCTGGATTTCTTCCTGTTTTTTCCTAATGCCAGTGACACTAGATTGGTTCCTTCATATAAGTGGTGTTAATAGAGGCTTAAATTACCAAGTTTTAGAACTGTTGTGCATATAAATTAAGGAATATTAAATGGAAAATAGTATGGCATGCACATACCTTAAGAGGGTTTGTTGTTTGCAGTGTGGGGTGCCTGCTGCAGCTTTATTTTATAAATGTTCATATGTTTCTGAGGGCTAACTGCAGACTTAAGGACAAGAGGCTGTATATATAAGAGAGCTAAATTTTGCTTCTCTCAATATATTTGTTATACACTTATCCCCTCTACTTTCTTGGATGCTTTTTGAATCTCATGGATTCATCACTTTGAAAAATGTGTTGATTGAGGATTGGGCACACACATCTCATCCATAGCCACCTGTTTGCAGGTGCTCCTGCCCATGTTACATAGCTTGTGGTACTGGTGGTTATGGCACACACTTTGACAATTTTCCCATGGCTTTGGCCACTCCATATTTCTCGTGATTTTGTAATTACAGTACAGGGGTGCCTGTGCTGCTGCCCCCACCACTGCCGCTGCCCTCTTCTTCTTTTTTTACAGCTCCATCTATAAATATAATTAACAGTCATGGTGATATTGCACATCCCTGTATAAGGCCTGCTTTTATTGGAAAATAATCCCTTTCTGCATACCTTAACCTGAACCTCGCTTATCTGCATACATTTGCAACATCTGCCATATTGCTGCTGTATACACCCATGTTCAATTCCCACATCCATAAATATGACAAAAAGTTCCTTTCCTTTAAGTATTGTTCACTTATATGCTTCAGTGTGAACATTTAGTCTGTTCATCCCTCCCTTCCCTAAATCGTCCTTGTTTCTCTGGCAACGTACTTTCTGTTAACCTTATTTTTTTCAGTAATAGCTCTGTGGTACACTACCTGGTATAATCGACAGGCTTTTTTTCCTCAGTGATTCTTACACTTTGTCCTTGTACAAACAATTCATGCATCCTCTCTGCCAATATTTAGGTACCTTGCCTTATGCATATATTGAACAAATTCACTAACTACTTCAAAACTAGATCCTCACCTGCTATTAACATTTGTCTTAATCCTTTTTGTTTCATGTATGCTAAGGTTTTTGAAATTTTGTATTTTCCAACTGCAAACTACAAATTTCTAAAACATTAGCATACATGATACTCAACCAGGCAAAGCACCACCTATTGTAATGTAATCACATTGTCTACCTGTCCTCATCCTAATATGGCATTTTTCAGGCCACCATGCATCACTCACACCTTAAATCTCCACCTATACATACTGTCTCTTTAATCTCTGTATGTTAGAAGTGATCAAGGTCCCAGGACCGAAACATTTTCTAATAAATATGTCCTAGTGTTTGCTTGCATGTCTTTATAAATCACATCACTTCTACACTTTAAAGAGCTTTCATATGCTCTACATTTTAAAAATCTTTCATATACTAACTTTTTTTCTCCCCTTACCACTTTCTACCTCATCAGTCTGCCAGTTGCTCTTCTTCCTACTTGCATCCACCCACCTATATCCACAAACTTCTGGTGCACCCTAACACTGCATACCTAAATCCACCACATACCTCTTCAGCCCCCTCCTTGTTACTTGCATTCTTTCTAGCCCACCTTTCTCCCAATAGTTGCTCATATTTTACCCTAACTGCCTCCTTTAATTTATTTACTTTCACTTAATTCTTACTCACTGATGGCACTTCTTGCACCCTATTTACCTCTTATGCTCTTTGTACCTACCACTAAATAATCTGAGATATCTTCCCTGTATGAAACATGTGAGATCCAGAAATCTACCCATCAGCCTTTTACTAATACATAGTCTAACGAACTGCTGTCATTAATCCTGACATGTCTTGTATACTTATATACTGTATCCTCTTTTTCCTGAAATAATTATTGCCTATTACCAAGCCTCTTTGTGTAGAAATACTGAACTCAATTAGACATTTAGAGAGGATGGAGCAAAGTAGAAAGACTTTGAGAGTATATAAATCTGTAGTGGAAGTAAGGCATGGTAGGGGTCGGCCTAGGAATGGTTGGAGGAGGGGTTAAAGGAGGTTCTGTGTGCAAGGGGCTTGAACTTCCAGCAGGTGTGCGTGAGCGTGTTAGATAGTAGTGAGTAGAGCCGAATAAGCGTGCCTCTGGCAAGACACTGATGGAGTGAGCAATGATGAAAGTGTTTCTTCTTTTTCAGGTCGCCTTTGGTGGGAAGTTGCCGAGGTGTTAATAAAAAAAAAATTTTCATGTACTCCTGACACTTCAGAATTTTGTACTCTTCTGTCTACAACAGTTCCTTACTCTTAAGCATTTAGGTCCCCCACAATTGTTTTCTCAAACCTTTCATTATACATTATGCACTTACTATGCATAGCTGTACAGCAAACAGGCAGTTTCTCCTCAAAAGTTTCATTTCATTACTAAACCTCTGCATGACTGTAACTTGTTTAATACTTACCATCATTCATTCTCTGAGGAAATGTCTTTCTGAAAGTTCATATACATCACAGTTCAAGTGACCCTCTGAATTAGTGTCCCCACTTATCCTTCAAAGTGCAGGCACTGTACTTTCCACTTACTGAATTAGCCTAGCTCACTGATTTCTCTGAATCACTTCATAGGTGTTATCCTGGTTACACTCCAGTTGTGAAAATACCAAAAACCACTTGACTCCATGCCAGTCTAATGCTGTCATGTGCTTGCTAGATAAGAGGCTCTTCCATTTAAAACCTTCACATCCACTTTGCAATGAAGGTGCCTTGGTATCAATGAAAACCTCTTCATTTAGGGAATTGGAGCTATCCTTCACTTCCTTGAATCAAAGGCGATTGCCTCCTATTACCCTTTCCCAAGATGCTTTACGAGTCCCATGTGTTTAGTGCAACCCCACAAATTTAGTAATACAGTGGAACCTTGGTTTTCGTAGGATTCGGTTTTTGATAACTTTTCATCAAAATTTTGTCCCAGTTTTTGTACATCTGCTCAGTTTTCATAGTTGACAATGGTCCACTGTACCAAACACATCCGCCTGCCCACGCCCACACAAAGCATCCCACTCATTCTGACTCAGTCTGGCTTTGTTTCTTGTTGAGTGAGCAAAGTGGAATGAGTTGCAAAGTTTTGTGGAGAAATATCACCCTAACAAAGCTGTTGCAAGCCGTGTCTGCAACATGTTCAATGACAATGCCTTGTCTCATTTTAGGCAAATCTTAGAGATACCAGAAACAGACCTCTCAGGACAGATTTTTTTGTGCAACGGGTACAGTGATTCAAGTTGGTCCTAGTGCCAGTAAAAGACAAAGAAGGGAAGTAACCCTGGATAGGACCTTGATACCTGAAGTCCTTATGGAAGGGGATTCCCTTTCCAACCAATAACCTCCCTTCCTCGCCATTTTCCATACGCCAACAAGAGTCTTCAATAAAGGTAAAAGTGATGTTAAATGTTCATTTATCCATTTCATTAGTCATTTATATTTATTTCTCATTGTTCTCTGTATGTAAAGCTATAGTTATTCTCTATAAAATGTATTTTTTGTTAATATTTTTGGGTGTTTGGAACGGATTAATTGGATTTACATTATTTCGTATGGTAAATGTAGCTTCAATTTTTGTATAATTTGGTTTTCATCACTTTCTGGAACGAATTAATCACGAAAACGAAGGTTTCACTGTAATTCATTCATTCATTGATGCTGTGTTATTTGTACTTTATCATTTGCGAATAGCTTTTTTTTTTTTTTTTTTCAGGCTTTAGGTAAGAAGAAAGATAAAGAGGAAGGTAGTAAAAAGGAAGAAGAAAAAAAGGCTTCTGATAAAGATAAGGACCAGGATAAGGATGATGATGATGCTATGTCTGTTGACTAAATGTTATCTGTAAATATATTTGTTCAGTACTTTTTATTTGATATCTTTTCAAAATTACTGGTATTATTACTCAGTCATAATTTACATATTAAACTTTAATAGGATTGTAATTAAGAACCTAGTTCACTGGACATGTTGGTCATGGTCTTAATATGATTATTAGAACATCTGTAAATTTCATCGTAATTTTGTTGGGATTTTTGGTTATTAGTTATTAAAAAGAATTTCCCAAGAAGCTTACTATCAGGGAAAGGGTCAAACCAGCATGCTGATAAAGACATTGACAGAATGGGAACTTTTATGTTTCATTTTGAGACCAAGGTTTTTCAAGTCTGTAAACTTGAAAAAGATTGTACCAAGCAATATGTTTCGGTAAAGGTATAATTTCGTCATTGCCTTTTGAACAAGCTGATTGCTGTATTATTATTTAGTAAATTTAATTTTTGTTTGATAATAAAATGCTGTTTGGCTTAATTCTCTTTATTTAAACCTGAAAATGATTTTTAATATTATAACTACATTTAAAATTGCACACAAATAATAATTAAATTTATTACTGGAGATTTGTTGCTACAGTTATTTAGCACTTTTCATTTGCAGCTTTCATGAGTGGAATATGAAGGCACAAGGAAAATACTGATGCTTAAGAGCAGCACTGAAGATCCAGAATCAAGGTTAAAGTAATTTTTTGTGGTTTTTATGGTAAAAGAAAATTTGGTACATCTGTCAAAAAATGAAGCAAAGTGAGGTAAGTATAGTTGCAGAGAAAGTTCCTCTACTCTCCTAGGCAGAAATAATATCAGGCAACTCAGACATAGCAAACAGACTATTTTCATGAATGAATTAGCACAGCTTGTAACAAGAAGGGTGATTGACAAAATTAATTGCTGGTATTTTGTGTATCTGTTGAAGTAGATTTATGAATGCAAATATGAATTAATTACCACTCAGATATTATATCCAATATTATAAATTATAAAAATTATTTGGAAAGGTGACCAAATATGTTGTAAAGTGTTTGGATTGACAACAGGTCCGTAATCATCATGCATCAGTCATATCTACTCGTGAAGCATAATTTTAATGGATGATTTAGGGGGACGGGGAGGGGTCATCCTAAGAAAGGATGGAGGGAGAGGGTAAAAGAGGTTTTGTTTGCAAGGGGCTTGAACATGCAGCAGGCAAGTGTGAGTTAGATAGTAGTGAATGGAGACGAATGGTTTTTGGAACCTGACGAGCTGTTGGAGTGTGAGCAGGGGTTAATATTTTGTGAATGGATTCAGGGAAACCTGAACTTGAATACTGGAAATGGGAAGTACAATACCTGTACTTTAACCTTTCAACTGTCCAAACGCAGAGCTACATTTACACTGCTAGCGCTCTGAACGTAGATCCACATTTTATTTTACATGCTTTCAAATGTAAAAAAAAAAAAAAAAAAAAAAAAAAGTAGATCTACGTTTGGAGCACTAGCAGTGCAATCGTAGATCTGTGTTTGGACAGTTTAAGGATTAAAGGAGGGATCTGGGATATTGGCTGTTTAGAGGGACGTCTAAACTGTTGCATCTGAGCACCTCTGCAAAGATAGTGATTATGTGTGAATGATGGAGAAAGTGTTTTTTGGGTCACCCTGCCTCAGTGGGAGATGGCCAATGTGTTGGGGAAAAAAAAAAACACCATTTTTTTTTCTCTCAACATGCTGGCCATCTCCCACCAAGGCAGGGTGACCCCAAAAAAATGAAAAACACTTTCACCATCACTCACACACAACCATTGTCTTTGCAGAGGCACCCAGATACGACAGTTTAGAAGTCCCTCCAAACTGCCATGTCCCAAACCCCTCCTTTAAAGTGCAGACATTGTACTTCCCATTTCCAGGACTCAAGTTGGGCTAACTGGTTTCCCTGAATCCCTTCACAAAATATTACCCTGCTCATACTCCAACAGCTCATTAGGTCCCAAAAACCATTCGCTCCTATCTAACATGCTCACACATGCCTGCTGCATGTCGATGCCCCTTGCTCCCTCCATCCTTTCCTAGGATGACTCCTACCCCTCATACACTTTATTACAGATTTATACACCCTCCAAGTCATTCTATTTTGCTTTAGGTTAGGGTGTGTAGGAGAGAGGGAGATTACTTTCCAGTAAAAGTAGGCCTTGGACAAGGATGTGTAATGTCACCATGGTTTTTTAACATTTATTGATGGGGTTGTAAAAGAAGTAAATGCTAGGGTGTTGGGGAGAGAAGCGAGATTAAATTATGGGAAATCAAATACAAAATGGGAGTTTAAACAGTTAATTTTTGCTGGTGATACTGTGCTTTTATGAGATTCTAAAGAGAAGTTGGAAAGGTTTGTGGATGAGCTTGGGAAGGTGTGTCAAGGAAGAAAGTTGAAAGTGAACATAAATAAGAGTAAGGTGAACAAGGTATCCAATGAGTTAGGTAAAGAAAAATTACATATCACATTGGAGGGAAGAAGTATGTGGTAGAAGTGAATGTATTCAGATATTTGGGAGTAGACTTTTCAGCAGATGGGTTTATGAAGGACAAGGTTAACCATAGAATTGATGAAGAAAAAAAAAGGAGAGTGGTGCAGTAAAGTATCTGTGGAGACCCAAAAAAAAAAAAAAAAAAAAAAAAAAAAAAAAAAAAAAAATTATCCATGGAGGCCAAGAAGAGAATTTACAAGAGTATAGTGGTACCAATATTTGTGAGTGTTAAGCATAGGGGTTAGAAGAGATGGATAGGATTATAAACACAGGGTGGAAGTAGAAGACATCCCAGGAATGGCGAGAGGGAGGGAGTAAAGGGAACAGTGTTAAGGGCTTGAGCATGCTAGATAAGAGTTAATGGAGAAAAGCAATTTTTAATTTCATGCTGGAGTGTGAGCAAGGCAACCTTTTTACAAGAATAAGAGGGAAACTAAATAGTCAGACCTGAGTTCTGGGGGTGGAAAGGGCAGTGCCTACACTGAAGGATGAGGGGGGGGGGGTTGATGTTGCAATCAGGATAATTTGAATTGTAATGTCAGCACACTTCTGGCAAGACAGCAATTGGATAAATGATGGTAAATGTGTCATATTTTGGATCACTATATATTTGTGGGACACAGCCATTGAGGTCAATATAAGAAATAAAAATTGCTTTTTTTTCCCTAATATACTGGCTCTCTACCACTGAGGTAGGATGAACCAAAAAAGAAACTTGACCATCATCCATACTATCACTGTCTTGCCAGATGACAATTTAATGCCACTAAAAAAGCAAATATCCCAAACTCCTTCACTAGAGTGCAGGCACTGTATGTCCTACCTCCAGGACTTGAATCTGGCTAACTAGTTTCCCTGAATCCCTTTACAAATTAACCTACTCACACTCCAAACAGCACGTAAAGTCCCAACATGTGAACAATATTTAAATAAAGGTAGGGAAGCAGACAGGTAGCAAATTACTTAATGCTATAATACACAGCATGTATATTACCTTTCTTATTTTCTGCTACTAAAAAGGACTTGCATTCAAACCAAGAGGGGACAATGAATCTTATTAGAAAAAATAAGCATTTATTTAATGTTTGTAATCTTCATATCTTATATTTCACAGCAAATGTACAAGAACTTCTACAATAACACAAAACCAGTTTTACTTGACATATTCAATATATTATTATTATTATTATAATCAAACATATTCAATATAATTAAACATGAAAAGGTGAATAAATCAAACTCCATTTCCTGGACACTAATGTACACCTGTAGGTAAAAGCTTTTTTTTAATGCATTCTCTGCTTCCTCTTGTGTCATAAAAATAATTTTAACTAAAAAGAATTGCTTTGCAAAACAGTGTATAATTTTGACACTTCTAGGCCAATAAATAAACTATTGTGTCATGCAGCTGCCTTCTACTAGTGCAATGATTAAAGATTGGAAAAGTATTAAAACTTTACTGGCTATTACAAGGAGTAATACCAATACTACTACTAATAACCTTTATACATATTCAGAAGGCAAGGAACTTCAACATTTCACTGGCTCCCAACATTTTGAGGTACAGTTGTTTACAAAGATAACAAATTAACCAGTGTGAATGTTTCACTTACCCAATAACCCTCCCTTCCAAACCCTTAATAAAACAAAACTAAATAGCAGAACATCTTTGGTTAAGACCATATCTTCCAATAATTCTTGGAAGTAAACCAATAGTGTACAATAAAATATTGTACAAATTACATCACAACCAAATGAACAAAACTACCAATTGCATCTGTACAGCAAATAAATTATAAAATGATTTTCCTATACTCGTTGAAAAATAACAGCACTTGTGTACACATACACAATAAGTGTCACACACTAACCACAGAGGGTATTAAATAGCTCTAGAAGTCTTCATATTCCTAAATTTAATCCTTGGCAGAAACTAGAGTAGCAAGAAAGGTAATAGATGGAACATGCTCTTTTGAATACAGCCATCTAAAATTGAGAAATAGTTTGCACAAATAAACTGCACTATATAACCCTTGTAGGTTCAGTACTTCTTTTGATTATTATTATTAATAATGATGCTTGCAGTAAGTTTTTTTTTCACTGTACAAGCATAAAAAAATTATCAGGAAATTATTTAAAAGTTACCAATAAATATACAGTACAAGTTTCCAAGAAAAAACTACATGCTCTTTTTAATCTGGACTAGTACAACAATTAAGTGAATTAATACCAATTAAGACAATATATCAAGGAGACAACCAGTATCTCCCCCCCATGGCCCCCTGTGGAAACTGGTACTGGTGTAAATTCTCTTTCAGGTGGCATTGTTTGAATAATAATCTATTCATACATATCAACCCTTTTGAGTTTAGCACTTTATTAATAATTATATTCCTACCAATTACAGTACTACTTGCCCCTTGAGAGTTTGACAAGGATTCTGTTTATGAATCTAAGAACTCAGGCTCTATTTCATCCTTCTGTGGTTGTATGGGGAGATGAAATTTTAGACTAGGCAAAAGTAGTCCTAAGGATCATTAGTGTAAAGATTAGGAGATGGATATGAACAGAAAGGAGTGGAAAGCACTGCACAAATAGTCCAACATAATTCAAGTTTAACCCCCTCTGTTTAAAGTAATGATTATAGTTCAGAAATGGCAATTTCTCAGAGGTGCCTTAATGAAAGAGAGGCTCTTGATCCAAGAAATTGAACCAGTATTACCTTTCCATCCCATTATAGAGGAAGTGCTAAACCCCCAAGGGTCATGCAGCCCCTTGCCAGCACTGAGGAATCTCCCTTGAAATGACTGCCTTCTGTTCCCTCGGGTTTTGCACTCCACCTTACCGTTACAAATGTAATAATAATGGAAAAAGGCAAGTGGTGATGGAGTATTACTTTGTAAGGAAGTAACCAAGTCTGCATGAGAGTTAAGGATCTGGAGGTGAACATCAACTAGCCTCTTCCCCAAGACAAATACAAAGTGGATACATTAGCAGTGTATGATTGCCTGGCCAATATAAGAAATGCAATAAGAAAGCTGAACAGGGATTCATTCAAAACACTGTAAATCTCACATATCAAGATAATCCTCATGTGTGCAGCACCAACATTGAGTCTGCACATTGTGAAGCTCAAATTTTAGATGTTAACTGCTAAACTTTTTAAAGTTAATCCCATAAAATAGGGGCATCACCTAGGAAGAAACACCAAAGCAGCACCTCATGATACACAAGAGCGTAGGGTAGGAGGTGACAAGGTAATGATAAAGATATGGAAAGGAAATAGCAGGATAGACCAGGACACTGTTAGACACCGAAAAGAAAAAAAAGGGGCATAGATGAAAGCTGCAATGATGAGGCAAAAAGAACACAAGAGGAATGTTTTTAGCATAAGACCCCTCAAGGAAGGTTCCTTGATGTTGGTGAGGGGCTCTTGATTTAGGGAATTGGATCTGTGCTCCAGTTTCCCGAATTAAGCCTGAATGCCTTCCACATCCCCCCCCCCAGGTGCTGTATAATCCTCCGGGTTTAGCGCTTCCCCCTTGATTATAATAATAATTTAGCATAAGATTGTGAACAAGTGAAATAAACTAAAAGGTACTAAAAGCAAATTTATATATAAATTTCAAAGATACAGTGAAGCAAGAGAAAAGAATTGACTGCAATATTCAATTTAAAGTGGAGCTACAGCTCGACTTGTCTAGGCACAGCACAGTAGTACACACTCAGGAGACAGTCCACAAAGCGCATAATGGACTGCTTAACCCAAAGGTACTGGGAGAGAGATACATTCCTGCTTAAAGAGAAGTATGAAATACAAGGACAGTCCATAGTTCTACCAACAATTCTAGGAGACAACTCAAAAGCAGGAAAGCATAGAAGATCAGTACAGTACAGTACAAAGACCAGCCAAAGCAAACTAATTCAAAACCACTTCATAGTCACATCAGAACTGTTCAAAAATAACAATAGTAGTATATGCAGAACTTCAAAGAAGATTCAAAATGACTTTTACAAGTGATCAGAAGTCACTACCAGAACCAGGGAGGATGCAATCCAATCACGAGTACTGCTGTAAAACATTAAAATAATGTACAGTAGTAATGAGGTATCTGAGAGAACCCCACACATTAAAGCCCATGGAACCAGGTAGAATCTTTCCCTAGCATAGTGAATGAAGATGCTGAAGCCCTAAGAATGCAACTTTCACATATACACACAAGAGATAGGAGTGACCAGACAATAACTTGCCAACATTATATTGATATTCAAAATGAGTGACAGGTAGCAATAAACATGCACACCATGTAAGGTGATTAAGACGGTAAGCCAGATTATAACATCTGCAACAAAAGTTCTGAGATGGCACATCCTGTATTATAAACAATCAAAATTTACAATTTGGGTGACAGTGGGCAAGAAAGAAAAATGGGTTGATTGCATATTTTCACAGAAAACTGGGAAAGTTACAAGAGGTAAATATACCTGAAAAAAGCAGTAATGACGGAGGAAATGTCAGGATGGAGAGGGTTTTGGGGGTCAACGGCCCTGTGGCCCGGTCTGAGACCAAGCAAATTTTTAGAAGGGTCAGTCCTCAGACCCATTCTATTTCTGATGTTTATTTTTTTATTATTAACACATCGGCCGTCTCCCACCAAGGCAGGGTGGCCCGACAAAGAAAAACCATCATCATTTACTCCATCACTGTCTTGCCAGAGGCATGTTTACACTACAGTTACAAAACTAACATTAACACCCTTCCTTCAGAGTGCAGACACTGTACTTCCCATCTCCAGGACTCAAGTCCTGCCTGCCAGTTTCCCTGAATCCCTTCATAAATGTTACCGTGCTCACACTCCAACAGCACATCAAGTCCTAAAAACTATTCGTCTGCATTCGCTCCTAACACACTTGCACATGCTTGCTGAAGTCCAAGCCCCTCGCACACAAAACCTCCTTTACCCCCTACTTCCAACCTTCCCTAGGCCGACCTCTACCCTGCCTTCTCTCCGCTACAGATTTATACACTCAAAGTCGTTCTATTTCCTTCCATCCTCTCTGCATGTCTGAACCACCTCAACAACCCCTCCTCAGCCCTCTGGATAATAGTTTTGGTAATCTCGCACCTCCTCCTAATTTCCAGACTACGAATTCTCTACATTATATTTACATCACACATTGCTCTCAGACACGACATCTCCACTGCTTCCAGCCTTCTCCTTGTTGCAACATTCACCACCCATATTTCACATCCATATAAGAGCATTGGTATAACTATACTCTCATACATTAACCTCTTTGCTTCCATGGACAAAGTTCTTTGTCTCCACAGACTCCTAAGTGCACCACTCACCTTTTTCCCCTAATCAATTCTATGATTCACCTCATCTTTCATAGACCCATTTGCTGACATGTCCACTCCTAAATATCTAAATACATTCACCTCCTCCATACTCTCTCCCTCCAATCTGATATCCGATCTTTCATCACCTAATTTTTTTATCCTCATCCTATATTCACTTTTAATTTTCTACTTTTACATACCGTACCAAACTCGTCCACCAACCTCTTCAACTTCTCTTCAGAATCTCCCAAAAGCAGTGTCATCAGCAAAGAGCAACTGTGACAACTCCCACTTTGTGTTAGATTCTTTATCTTTTAACCTCACAATTCTTCCCAACACCCTCGCATTCACTTCTCTTACAACCCCATCTATAAATATATTGAATAACCATGGTGACATCACACATCCTTGTCTAAGGCCTACTTTTACTGGGAAATAATCTCCCTCTCTCCTACATACTCTAACCTGAGCCTCACTACCCTCATAAAAACTCTTCATTGATTTCAGTAACCTACCTCCTATTCCAAACATTTGCAACATTTCCCACATTGCTCCCCTATCCACCCTGACATATGCCTTTTTCAAATCCATAAATACCACAAAAACTTCTTTACCCTTATCTAAATACTGTTCACTTATATGTTTCACTGTAAACACTTGGTCTACACACCCCTACCTTTCCTAAAGCCTCCTTGTTCATCTGCTATCCTACTCTCCATCTTACTCTTTAATCCTTCAATAATAACTCTTGCTATACACTACCAGGTATACTCGACAGACTTCTTCCCCTATAATTTTTGCACTCTCTTTTGTCCCCATTGCCTTTATACAAAGGAACTATGCATGCTCTCTGCCAATCCCTAGGTACCTTACCCTCTTCCATACATTTATTAAATAAAAGCACCAACCACTCCAAAAATATATCTCCACCTGCTTTTAACATTGCTATCTTTATCCTATCAATCCTTACTGCCTTACCCCTTTTCATTCTACCCAATGCCTCATGAACTTTCCCCACACTCACAATTGGCTCTTCCTCACTCCTGCAAGATGTTATTCCTCCTTTCCCTATACACGAAATCACAGCTTCCCTATCATCAACATTTAACAATTCTTCAAAATATTTCTGATGTACAGTATGTAAATGACTTGTCAAACCATACTCCGGCCGGGATTGAACCCGCGGTCAGAGAGTCTCAAAACTCCAGCCCGTCGCGTTAGCCACTAGACCAGCTAGCCACAATAAGATTCGTCCAACTAGGTATATTTCTACATCCTAGGAAGGTTAGCACAGGCACCACTGTGACCACAAATGCAAGTTTTTACAGACGAATCTCCAGCTAGCATGGCCGTGACGAACTCTAGCTCAAGTCCCTTCACTGCCGTCAACATGACTCACGAAATCGTAATGACACTATTGCAAACAATCGTGCATTGGTGCAATCGTGTCATTACGATTTCGTGAGTCATGACCTGTCAAAAAAGAGTAGATTTCTTCATGTCAACATCTGCTGATGACATGACACTAATGGGAAAGAGACAAATGGAAGATAACTTCAGGAAACCAAATGAAGTTTTTGATAACTGCAAAAATACTTGGAGTTCAATACCAACAAGTATTAAATAATGAGGATGGGTACTGGGAAGAGGCTGTCAGACACAGGCATAAACTAAGTAGGATATGCCTGATAAAGAAAATAACCCGAGGGGAAGACATTACACAACCTATCGTCTGTTACATGTACAAATCGGATATCTTCAGCAGGATATGCATTGCCTTCAGGATCCTGGCCAACAAATTATGTGGAACAGGAAAAAATCAGTTCTTGAATACACTGTTTGAGGATGAGTCCAGCTTACTCAATTATACAAATACAGTGGTACCCAGAGTTTCGAACTGCTCCCAATTCGACCAATTATGTAAGTGTATTATTGTAAGTGCTTTTGTATTTTTGGGGATCTTAAACGGACTAATCTAATTTACATTATTCTTTATGGGAAAAATTCGTTCAGTAATTGCACTCGAACAGCCTTCTGGAACGAAGAAAGTTCAAAACTCGGGGTACCACTGTAATCTTGAAAAAAATTCACAAATTTACAACCAGAAACGAGCATAGCCAAAGCTTGAATTACAAGAAAATACTAAAAAGTGCTAAATCTCACAAACTGGCCATATCCCACCGAGGCAGGGTGGACCAAAAAGAAAAACAAAAGTTTCCTTTTTTAACTTTAGTAATGTATAGAGAAGGGGTTACTAGCCCCTTGCTCCTAGTATGCTACTCACCTTTTACGACACACATGGCTTACAGAGGAAAACTAGATGTAAGCATAATATAAAAAATAATTAGTGGTATTAACAAAACAGATAATGAGACATTGCTTAACACAGAGGAAACAGAAATAGATAGACAAACATAGATCATATAGGGAACACAGCAGTAGGAAACTGACAAGCAGAAAGGACCAAAACCAGGTAATATACTGTAGATAGAAATGAGAAAGGAAAAAAAATATAGGAACCATGGTCAGGCCAAAGGTAGAGATTTCCATGGGAAAACTACATTCCTATCTCTTGCAAGTACTGGGTCATCTGGGTTCTAGCAGTTATTTGAGAATGATAGTTAACAGCAGTCCACAAGAAAGCCTGGCCTCAGGTTGGGCTGCTAGGGTAGGAGGTACCAAAATGATGAACACAAATGAAAGTTAAATGCTCAAAGGGATATACAAAGTTTTCTTCATTGTAAGATTAGTGAGACAGTGGAACAAACTAAGAGGCAGACTGCATACATGGATTCAAGTGTAAAACTGAACTGGATATCAAATACTGTACATCAGTCTATCAAAGGTCGAAAGACAAGGCCTAGGAATTGAAAGTGCAACCCCCACAGACACAGATTGCGAGTACAGATAAGTGACAATTTTCTGTTATTCCACTCCTTCACATTCCCATACACTCACACATCCACCCATACATTTTATCTCATTCTTATACAATGTAATAAAAAAAAAAGTTTCCAGACTGGATACAACTGGCAAAACACTATACAGTTTTATAAGAACCCAAGTAACTGAATACAAATTTTGTCTTGTGATTCAGCCCATCAAAATCCAGTGTATCCCTTTTTTTCCAGTAGTATGTAGTCTTTATACAGTGGTTCTGTTACTGTAGCACTTTTGAGAAAGAGGACTTGGCATTTCACACATTTTTTGTGTTTTACACCAAAAATAACATTTTCAAAGAAGTTTTTATTAACTATTTTAACTTTTAGTCAAATTAGTGATAATCCAGTGCTTCACTGTGTAATGCAGCACACACCACACACTTGCAGTTTAATGGTATAGCACTTGGCTTGACTGAAAGGACCATATCAATTCTCAAGCAGGGCAAAACAGAGGCAAATCTTACATGTGGTCTCCCTGTTCACCTAGCAGTAACTATAGGTAGACATTTACATATAGGTGTTAGTTGACTGTTGTGGGTTGCATCCTTGGAAAAGGTGTGGCAATATAATAGGGCTGGGCTTTTAACACTTTCACTGTCTCTTAGGTAGATCTATGTTACTGATGCCTGGTCACTTACATTGATATATGCATAAATTGTAGGGGCTTAAAATTTTGCAGAGGCCTGGTAGGCCTACATATGAGAGAACGGGTGTGCATGGTCATCATGTACAGTACATAAAAAAAATCAGGGTCACCAATGTACTTTGTGGGAATGCCATATTTAGTACACCGTTTACCATGCCACATGGATGCAAAGTCCTCACTCCCCGGAGAATTTAACTGGTTTTATTCCTCAGTGACAGCTCCAACAATGAGGATTATGGAAGTGGGATGAGTTCTTTGGTTTCGAACGTTTAATGACCAAAAGTGATGCTCAGGATATCATAAATATGGCTGAAAACCATCCACATTTAGGGTTGGGTCATCAAGAACACATCCACCTCCACCACATTGTAAGCAAAAGCTCATATTCTCCTGTATTATTGTTATAATAAAAAAGAGGCGCTAAGCCACAAGGGCTATACAGCATATTCTCCTGTAGCCCGGGCACAGACACAAGTAATGGTGATGATAGTAATGTGGACTTTGATTTCCTAGAAATCAATGACCAATCCAGTAGTAATAGTACAGATAATCATTCACCTGTGAAGCATCAACATATATGGCACTGCGCACATTCTTGTAATGTGTCCAATGTTATCCCCAGGGGACAGAATACATCCCAGGACCCAACACTGGTAACAGATAGTGAGGAAAATGGTGCACTGACTGGGATGGGTAGTAGGCAATGCTGGTGCCGCATGTGGCAGCAGTGCCAGCCCAGGTTGGGAGGCACGACCCACAGCCAACACTACAATGACCCATGACCACCTCTACTACCTACACAAAACCATCACCAGACTATCTGTGACTGCCAGGAGAATACAAATTTGTGTCCAATCCCAATCAATTTGATGACACACAATGAAAATCAGTCTAACTGTACCCTGGGAAATGATGCCAGTGAACCTGAATTCTTTGATCTGTATTTTGATGACCCACTGATGCAAATTATATTGAGAGAAACCATCAGATACTTCCACTAAACAATGACAAACATACTGGTTTCGTCACAATCATCGCTATTCCAGTGGAAGGACAGAGCTGTGGCTGAGATGTATCTCTTCTTTGCCACAATAATGCTTATGGTACATATACATAAGCACAATATTCAATCATACTAGTCAAATGATCGCCTAATTTGTACCCTGACCTGTAGTGATCTCATTCTCGTCAACAGATTTATCCTGCTGCTACATATGTTACACTTTTCAAACAAAATGAGGCCCAACAGGATGTTTTTATGTATCTGAAACAGAAGTTCAGTATGTATTTTTATCCTTTCAAGAACCTTGTCACTGATGAGTCTGATACTTTTCAAAGGTACACTGTCATTCAAGCAGTATATACCAAGCAAAAGGAAATGCTTAGTATCAACCTGTTCGTGTTGCGTGATTGTTTATAGAGAATGAAAAACATTAAAAGATACCAGGAAGTTGTTGGGTATCTCAGGTGAAGAAAAGTGATGGAACAATATCTTAGTAAGGGGCATACATTTTACTGTACATGGATAGCAGGTACACAAGCTTGTGAACCTATTAACATGACAGACATGTGGTACAATGGGTGGAACACGTAAACATGTGCCCAGGCTCAACGAAGGCATTGGTACTGGTGAGGTGCTGGCATTTCATGCCAATGACATCATGGCATGACAAACGTGATATAATATCGATGACAATAATTCACCATGAAATGAAAAACACAAAGGTGAATAGAGAATAATGAACCCATTCTGAAACTTGGTGCTATTATGCATTACACCACCAATATGCATTTGGTGGACAAATGTGACATGCAGATTCGGTTTGCTGATTGTGTCTGCAGGAGTTACAAGTGATATTTGAAACTCTTCTTCCATCTTTTGGCCATTAAAGTACTCAATGCAGATAATATGTACCAGGTCAGACCAGCAACAGACCACCATTTGCCCACTTTTGTTTATCTGTTATCAAACAAATATTACACAAATACCAGGTCACAACACCTGCAGCAGACATGCACTGCAATACTGATCACCACATACCCTCTCATTTTAAGTTTGATGTTCACTTCCTAACACTTTCTGCTACTTATGAAACAAAATGGGCTCAGAAGAGATGTATGCATACACAAGGCACCCAGCAAAACACAGAAATGCATGTTTTGTGTGGTGTAAAACACCACTGTGTATGGAGTTGTGTTTCAAGGACTTCCACAGACTGCAACAGTCCTAGGAACATGACTAGTACCTGTATATAATGTTAGAACAGTAATAATGTGAAACATTTAGATCTGTGCATGTTTATACTGTTGTGTTCACACGTTTTTGTAAACAATGTACTGATGACAATATTAGTGTTGGTATTAGGGAGTTAGTAGATGGGGAGATGGAGGTTTTGGGTAGATGGCGAGAATATTTTGAGGAACTTTTAAATGTTGACGATGAAAGGGAAGCGGTAATTTCATGCACTGGCCAGGGAGGTATACCATCTTTTAGGAGTGAATAAGAACAGGATGTGAGTGTGGGGGAGGTGCATGAGGCATTATGTAGAATGAAAGGGGGTAAAGCAGCTGGAACTGACGGGATCATGACAGAAATGTTAAAAGCAGGGGAGGATATAGTGTTGGAGTGGTTAGTATTTTTGTTTAATAAATGTATGAAAGGAAAGGTACCTAGGGATTGGCAGAGAGCATGTATAGTCCCTTTATATAAAGGGAAGGGGGACAAAAAAGACTAAAAATTATAGAGGAATAAGTTTACTGAGTATACCAGGAAAAGTGTATGGTAGGGTTATTATTGAAAGAATTAGAGGTAAGACAGAATGTAGGATTGCAGATGAGCAAGGAGGTTTTAGAGTGGGTAGGGGATGTGTAGATCAAGTGTTTACATTGAGGCATATATGTGAACAGTATTTAGATAAACGTAGGGAAGTTTTTATTGCATTTATGGATTTAGAAAGAAGATATGATAGAGTGGATAGGGGAGCAATGTGGCAGATGTTGCAAGTATATGGAATAGGTGGTAAGTTACTAAATGCTGTAAAGAGTTTTTATGAGGATAGTGAGGCTCAGTTTAGGGTGTGTAGAAGAGAGAGAGACTACTTCCCGGTAAAAGTAGGTGTTAGACAGGGATGTGTAATGTCACTATGGTTGTTTAATATGTTTATAGATGGGGTTGTAAAAGAAGTAAATGCTAGGGTGTTTGGGAGAGGGGTGGGATTAAATTATGGGGAATCAAATACAAAATGGGAAAGTGTCACAGTTGCTTTTTTGCTGATGATACTGTGCTTATGGGAGATTCTAAAGAAAAATTGCAAAGGTTAGTGGACGAGTCTGGGAGTGTATGTAAAGGAAGAAAGTTGAAAGTGAACATAGAAAAAAGTAAGGTGATGAGGGTATCAAATGATTTAGATAAAGAAAAATTGGATATCAAATTGGGGAGGAGGAGTATGGAAGAAGTGAATGTTTTCAGATATTTGGGAGTTGACGTGTCGGCGGATGGATTTATGAAGGATGAGGTTAATCATAGAATTGATGAGGGAAAAAAGGCGAGTGGTGCATTGAGGAATATGTGGAGATAAAAAAGTTATCTATGGAGGCAAAGAAGGGAATGTATAAAAGTATAGTAGTACCAACTCTTATATGGGTGTGAAGCTTGGGTTGTAAATGCTGCAGCAAGGAGGCGGTTGGAGGCAGCGGAGATGTCCTGTCTAAGGGCAATGTGTGGTGTAAATATTGTGTGGAAATTAGGAGAAGGTGTGGAGTTAATAAAAGTATTAGTCAGATGGCTGAAGAGGGGTTGTTGAGGGGGTTTGGTCATTTAGAGAGAATGGATCAAAGCAGAATGACATGGAGAGCGTATAAATCTGTAGGGGAAGGAAGGCGGGGTTGGGGTCGTCCTCGAAAAGGTTGGAGGGAGGGGGTAAAGGAGGTTTTGTGGGCGAGGGGCTTTATATTCTAGGTAGTAGGATGGTAGACAGCAACCACCCAGGGAGGTACTACCGTCCTGCCAAGTGAGTGTAAAACGAAAGCCTATAATTGTTTTACATGATGATAGGATTGCTGGTGTCCTTTTTTCTGTCTCATAAACATGCAAGATTTCAGGTACGTCTTGCTACTTCTACTTACACTTAGGTCACACTACACATACATGTACAAGTATAAATATACACACCCCTCTGGGTTTTCTGCTATTTTCTTTCTAGTTCTTGTTCTTGTTTATTTCCTTATCTCCATGGGGAAGTGGAACAGAATTCCTCCTCCGTAAGCCATGCGTGTTGTAAGAGGCGACTAAAATGCCAGGAGCAAGGGGCTAGTATCCCCTTCTCCTGTATATATTACTAAATGTAAAAGGAGAAACTTTCGTTTTTCCTTTTGGGCCACCCTGCCTCGGTGGGATATGGCCAGTGTGTTGAAAGAAAGATATATATATATAATGCACAGTGCAAGGCAATTGCCAATGCTGATGTTGGTGGGCCTTCAACTTTCAACTTCACACCTTTATATCTAGGTAAGTACTGACTGGAATTTTATTTCATGTTTCATTGCCACTACAAATATTTTTTTTTTTTTTTTTTTTTTTTTAGAAATGCCAACATTGGCAGCACTTTTAATTTTGGGCCTTCCAAAAGTGAAGAGCTGAGCAGAATAACACTTGGCATAAATTCCAACTGTGTAATAAAATCAACAATACTGAATGACCACCAAGTTTATCCAGATATGTCTTTTGTAACCATCAGTGTTTGCAAACACATTACACACACACACACACACACGTACACACAAAATAGTCACTCCAGAAATATTCTGAATATACCTATGTGTACATTATTTATTTTAGTTCCACTTTAGTGGCAAATTCAAGCAGCAAACAGTGGCTGTTGTACACCATAATGATTGCTGCAAGAATTTCCTAAATTTGTTAAAAATAAATTTTTATGCAATATTCACCTCCACAAAGCACAGCAGGGACATTATAAATATATTTGTAGTAACTACTCATGAGCCATTATCAACTGACAACATCATGACACTCATCCATCATTTTCTTCTGTACAAAATGTTTCCCCTATTAACATTAAATACAATCAAATGAAAAACCATCTGAATCTACAAAAAAAATAACACTTAACAAAAATATAGACAACAATGAATATAATAAATTATATTAATGACACTGGCTTTCAACTAACTGCTACAGAAAAAAAAATGGCAAGCTCAGAAAGACTGAACGATGCCCTGGTACTGGGAAATAATGGAGGCTTAAAAACCAGCTTGTTATTTTTTTTATTTTCCATTGGCAGTGAATTTTATCACAAAGGTGGGGATAGCTAAAGCATCTATGCACCACCATGATCATGCCTACATTGCACATGGTCTACAATGTGCTAACAAGCACTCCTCCTCTTCACTGTTTATATTATTGAGTTGAATAACCAGTTTTTGCTGAAGTTATATGTATATGAGAATCATAAGGTCAGCAAAGATTCTGCTTCAGCACCTAAATTTTGATTTGTGCCTGATTACAGACTCTATTGTAATTCCATTGCAGTTTAGCTCTGCCACCTCATACCCTAATTTGTAGAACTGCCACAGGACTCTCAGATAAATTACATCCCTGAGCATATTTCAAATAATAACTTGCAGCACCTCAAATACAGCACTAGAAATCATATCTTGAAGTTTATCATGAGTTCAGATCCTGCAAAATGTTCTTATGTATTTTATATATCACTGTTTCTCACTAGACCATTAGTAATGGGTGAATTGTGCGTAAAAGTTCCTAAAAAAAAAACTAGGCAAGACCATAAATGAGCAAATGATTTTCCTAAATTTAATGCAAGAATGTTGAGATTACTGCATAGTTATTTGCTGATGGCCACAGTACAAAATCCATGGAGCACTTGTTAACACTGATGCAGTAGGATGCATTTGGTATGCACATCTACAAGCAGCATATGCACCAAGCTTTAACCAAAACCTGCTGTGTACTTTCACGTTAAAATGAATGACTTGTATCCTAGTATAATCTTTATACAGTACTGTATTTTTCTTGTAAAAGAGCACCTGTTGTAACCAACAGAAACATGATCACTTGATATTATAATTAATCAGAAGACATGAGTAATTAAAATGTTCTTCTGGGTATAATAGGCAGTTTTGGTGGTGAGCTGCAGCAAGGTAAGACAAAGGGGAGAAAACAGACATGACTAGGCAGGCAATAATCACTGGACTTAAACCGTACTAACAACTTTATCGGGAATCCCTGTCAACTTATTGACAATGTAAAATTTATGCTTGTTCCCTACCAGTCCACGGATCACAGCAATATTTTCCACCAAGAAATTGAAGGGCATTGTGACAAGGGCACCTGCCATACACATGGTCATCCGTAACCATCCAACTCTGTCAACTCTGAATGACTTAATCACCCCAAATATGTACATATAAAAGTTGACACCACCAACAAATGCTGCAATTACATTAAGAGCTCCAGGAACAGGCACAGGAAAGATGGTGCTTAATATGACAGATGCCAGAGCCAAGGGCATAGTAACCCAAGAATAGAGAGAGACTGCCAGAAGCCACTTTGTGCTCACCTGTAAGTAGAAATTTTACATTAGCAACAAATTGAAGATCAGATTTCAATGAATTAAACTATTTACCACACCAATAAGCTAGTGGCATGAAACCTTTCCCATTTTAGTGAAAAGTAGCCAATCCCATTCCAATAGTCATAAAATTTTAATCACCTTTTCAAAATATATACTATAGCCTGTTCCAATTCACCTTAGCAAATGTGTTTCCTTAATATTTATAAAGATTTATAATGTAATTTCAATATTAAACAAAGAAGTGATGAGGACTATGATACAATGTTGAGTAAACTTAAGAGAAAAACCACCTCACTGCCCCTCCAGTCATCATACCAATAAGCTGACCATTCTTGGCAAGTTTTTATTCAGGATACTGGGGTGACAGCTATTCTATTCATTCCTTGTATGAATAGGGAGACTGTATTTATCTAGAATATAAGAGCACTTTGATAAGAGTTCTCCATGACAGACTAATTTGGAGACTTTAAAAAGTATAACTAAAAGATAAACTATTACAACATGAGAAATTTTCTGTTTGAGAGATATATGCAAGCAGTGATAAGAGGATAAAATATCATCTTGGGGAAATGTCACCAGTGGGATACCATAAGGATCTGCACTTGCCCCGAAAATGTTTTTAATTTATATGACTAACCACACGGAAAAGGAAAATATATAAATCTGTTTGGAGATGATACAAAAATACAGTAATAATGAATCTTTAAATGATGACTTTGATAAACTGCAATAAGCAAACTGAGTGACAAATGACTGATGAAATTTAATGTTGATAAATGCCATGTAAAGGTAAATAGTAGAAAGCAAAATTAACCCCATTAAGAATATGGTTTATGAGACTAAATTCTGCTTATACCAGTTGAGCTGAGGTATAAAATGGAAGACTTGGATAAAGAAAAATTGGATATCACATTGGAGAGAAGGAGTATGAAGAAGTGAATGTTTTCAGATATTTGGGAGTTGATGTGTCAGTGGATGGGTTTATGAAGGATGAAGTTAACCATAAAATTGATGAGGGAAGAAAGGCGAGTGGTGCGTTGAGGTATATGTGGAGACAAAAAACGCTATCAATGGAGGCAAAGAAGGGAATGTATGAAAGTATAGTGGTAACAATACTCTTATATGGGTGTGAAGCTTGGGTTGTAAATGCTGCAGCGAGGAAGTGGTTGGAGGCAGTGGAGATGTCCTGTCTAAGGGCAATGTGTGGTGTAAATATTATGCAGAGAATTCGAAGTGTGGAAATTAGGAGGTGTGGAGTTAATAAAAGTATTTGTCAGAGGGCTGAAGAGGGGTTGCCGAGGTGGTTTGGTCATTTAGAGAGAATGGATGAAAGTAGAATGACATGGAGAGCGTATAAATATGTAAGGGAAGGAAGGCGGGGAAGGGGTCGTCCTCGAAAAGGTTGGAGGGAGGGGGTAAAGGTTTTGTGGGCGAGGGGCTTGGACTTCCAGCAAGCGTGCGTGAGTGTGTTAGATAGGAGTGAATGGAGACAAATGGTATTTGGGACCTGACAAGCTGTTGGAGTGTGAGCAGGGTAATATTTAGTGAAGGGATTCAGGGAAACCGGTTATTTTTATATAGCCGGACTCGAGTTCTGGAAATGGGAAATACAATGCCTGCATTTTAAAGGAGGGGTTTGGGATATTGGCAGTTTCGAGGGATGTGTAATAGGACGGTATATAAATATATAATTGGGGCCCTGATATTATATTCTATATGGAGTTTATTATATTATTTCAGGTCACTTTTTATATCGAATCTTTATATATGCTTCTAAACTGTTGTATCTGGGCACCTATGCAAAAACAGTGATTATGTATGAGTGAGGTGAAAGTGTTGAATGATGATGAAAGTATTTTCTTTTTTGGGTCACCCTGCCTTGGTGGGAGACGGCCGACTTGTTGAAAAAAAAAAATATATAACAATTTCATCCATCCTCTCTAGTCAACATAATTCCTGATAACATTCGATCACTTGCACTTAGGAATAAGTAATCCCAATAACATGCGAGTCTATTATCTACTGCTCAAATACACAAGTACTTGAGCAATGAAAAATCCTCTTGTATAACATCTAATTTAAGACACCATGACTACTTAACCCTTTCAGGGTCCGTCCCGTAGATCTACGGCTTTACGTTCAGGGTCCAAACCGTAGATCTACGCCATGAGCTCAGCTCACTCTGATAAACTGTGAGTGGTACATTTGGGCCTAGATATGAGAAAATACATCTATGTGGTATGTGTGCACCACATAAAACAGATCCTGCAGCACACTGTGTATAATGAGAGAAAAAAAATGAAGTCATGATTTTTCGATTAAAACAGCAACTTTGCAGTGTTTTTTCGTATGTTTTTTATAGTAGTATTTGCGATTTCTTGGTCTCATTTGATAGAATGGAAGACATATTACAGAAATAGAGATGATTTTGATTGGTTTTAGCACTGGAAATGGCTTGAAACTGAGCTCAAAGTAGCGGAAATGTTAAATTTTTTGCCGATATTCAAGAGTAAACAAACGACCTCACACGTCTAATACACGTCAGCTGGTGGGTCTAATATACATTCACAAATATGGTGATGATATTTATACAATTATTACAGTATTGCATAACAGTAAATCTTCTATTTTTTGGTGTGAATAAAAATTAATTATGTGAATAAAAAATCAAAATGGAATTTATTTGTAAAGCCTCAAAACATAACTAATGAACAGAGGAAATGTTAGTTTAGTGCCAGGAATGCCTACATTGTTCATTCTGGACCCTATTTTGAAATTGGAATATTTTGAACTTTGTGTTAAATTGGCCAAATTAACAAATTCCGATCACTTTATTTTGTAGTTGAAACAGTTGACTTGTCGATTTCTTGTGCTCAATCGATAGAATAGTAGTAATACTAGTGAAATAGCTAAGAATTTGGTTGATTGGAATAATGTAATTGGCCTAAAATGGGAGTCAAAGTCGGCAAAATCGCAGATTCGTAAATATCGCTGACACATCAAAATTTGCGAGAGCACAATTTCGTCAATTTTCCACCAAATTTTGTACTTTTTGTTTTATTACCTTCACAAAAAGATTCTCTACGATTTCATAAGAAAAATAACAATTTTTTTTTTTTTAAATTCTTGGACACTGGTGCGTGACTCCAGATTTGGGCCTTGGACCCTGAAAGGGTTAAGAGGGGCCTTCCTAAATGAAAACACTAAGACTGTTTAAACTCACCGGTATGTGTGGACTATGGACCACTAAGAGAATACCTTGGAGCCATCTCTTGCGTTGTTGTAAAAAGTCATATATAGTAAATGGGGACTTTTCCCACATCTCTCCTTCAATGAAATCAAATGAATAGCCTTCCCGCAAGGCCACCATACCAAAATAGTTATCTTCTGCTACACTTCCATCAGGGCCATGATCAAAAGTAACCCGTCGCTCTGCCCCAGTCTGAAGTGAAATTTACACATACACAATATTGTTCTAAAAACTGAAAAGGAGTGCACTAACTTAGGTAAAGATCTAAAAATAAACACAATACTGTCTGTCAAATTAGGTTCACAAGATAAGCAAATTATTAAGTTTTTAAAATGGTGAAGTTAATTTGTACTTGACTATTCTTCACCAAAAATATACCACTTAACATTGAATAAATAACTGAATACTTGCCATCAGTATGAAAATTTCATGCAGTAAACAACCTTACTTAAAGCTTTCATCAGTAAACTACAGAAGAAACCTTCTAAGACTAATAAAAACAGAACCTGAGTTCATTTCAACATAGTGATGTATTGGATTTTATGACTGCCCTTTTTTTAATTTCTATAATTTATTTATTTATTCTGAGATTAAAAACAAAATACAAAATCTGGATATATTTTTTTAACAGCAAAACCTGCTTATTTTGCTTTTAATAATAATTCTTATTCTCATAAAAAATTCTTTTTTTTTTTTATTATCACACTGGCCGATTCCCACCAAGGCAGGGTGGCCCGAAAAAGAAAAACTTTCACCATCATTCACTCCATCACTGTCTTGCCAGAAGGGTGCTTTATACTACAGATGATACTATGACTTCTCACAAATCTGGATACACATATTTCAGGCAAACTAAAACTTAATACAAAATATATCATTATGGAGCTGTTTATACTAAGTTTAGTACAGTGGAAGCTCGGTTTTCGTTTACCCTGGTTTTCGTCGAATTCAGTTTTTGACAACTTTTTTCGTCAAAATAATGTCCCAGTTTTCGTTCATCACCTTGGTTTTTGTCCGTCGTACCAAACATGTCCGTCTGCCCGCACCCACACAAAGCATCTCACACACGTATTCCGAGTCAGTCTGGCTTCGTTTCTCATCGAATGAACATTATCCTGCGCATTCATACGAAACATTTCGTAATAATCCATTATTTTTTGTGCTTGTTTGAGTGCAACTGCTAAATAAGCCACCACGGGGCCAAAGAAAGTTCCGAGTGCCAGCCCTTTGATAAAGAAGGCGAGATACACGATAAAATTCAATGGTGGTAGAGGGTGGTAGTGATGGTGGTAGAGGGTGGTAGTAGTAGTGATGGTGGTAGAGGGTGGTAGTAGTAGTGATGGTGGTAGAGATAACCTCTTCTCCCTCTTCCTTCCTCGCCATCTTCCATATGCCAACAAGAGTCACCAATAAAGGTAAAAGTGATTTAAATGTTCATTTATCCATTTCATTAGTGCTTTATATTTCTTTGTTTTCTGTATGTAAAACTATAGTTATTCTCTATAAAATGTATTTTTTGTTAATATTTTTGGGTGTCTGGAACAGATTAATTGGATGTACATTATTTCTCAAGGGAAATACTGCTTCAGTTTTCGTCAAATTCGGTTTTCGTCAGACTCTCTGGAACGAATTAAAGATGAAAACCGAGGTTCCACCGTAGAAGGTACTGACAGGTAAGATCTAGTTACAGCTGACAAGTGAAAAAAAATAGTTGGTAATATTATTTGTGTATAAATAAAAATTAAGCAAAATTACACATAGGCATAAGGTAATAGATATTGCAAGACTGTACTAAAAAAAAAAAAAAAAAATTCTGCTTGTATTTTTCCATAATGAAATTTACTAGCTTATGTGCATACCTGTGTAACAACATAGGATCCCTTCCAACCAAAGAGTGGTTTGTGAAACACTTTGAACTGAAACCTCAGTTTGCCCATGTCATCAGAGACTCGGAAGCTGTCAGCCAGAGTTGTAAACCAGTTTTGGATATTTTCATTGGCATATGTAATCAACCCCTGCCAATAAAAAGAAATATTAGAGTACACAAATAATTACTGTATACCACATATATCTTATGATAAAGAAAAGGACATATGTATGTGTAAATACATAAGATATTTAGCAGGAAAAATTTGTCCTGGCACCTTGCTCACTCTTATAATGCAAAGGGTACAGAGACAGTACATAAACCCAAGGCACACTTGAGAAAAAGAGAGGTCATGTAAGGTATATGCAGTAGTCAGGTCAGGTTTAAGACAAGCAGACACAAGCAGACAATTAATAAGAGCATTATGAAGCATGGTCTAGAATCATGTGGACTATAGTAGTGATGTAACTTTCTGCACCTTGCTTAATCTTATTAAAAATTGTGATCAATGATGCTTCCAGGTACTGTCAGTCTCCTCAGCTCAGGTTCAGTGATAATTACTGCACCTCGTTTAAGTTCACCAAATAGTGTCTGGCATTCCTGGGGATTATGCAAGCATTGCACTGGTCATCTCTTTTTGCATGTGTATTTGTATTCACTCAGCCTGATAGCACAGGTTCCTTCTAGTTTTCCCTACCTATTTCTTAATCAGCGTCTGTACAGAATGTTATAGATAGACCCCTGCAGTAGAAAATAAGTAGGATCGGTTTAGCTCGGACCCCCTTTCCACTCTCTCTCCCATTTTACTCTGGAGTCTGAGTGAGGGGAAACTCCACTTCTTTAACAACCTCCTCTCTAGGACACTGGGAGGCATTTAAAATTGTCTCTGATTAGTTATTCATAGTTTGTGAAGATCAAATCTAGTATATTTTAATTTCTAATAGGCTCTGTTATTTGTTGGTTAAAGGCAACTTTTCACAAAACCCCAATAAGTTTGTAGTATGCCCGTTGGATACCATTTTCTGGTACAATTTTGTCTACAATCTTCAATATAACATTTGGATGGTAGAAATCTCCAGGAAGGATATTATTTGGCATAGAATTTTCAAGGTAGCTATCTGCCTTCCTTATTGGCTCTGTGAATGCCTCCACTATTGCTGATGGTAGCTCGTGTAAAAGTATAATTAACAGTCTTGTTCTCCACTTTATTATCTAGTATGCCTGTTGTATCATCTGATGGTTGCAGCAGTTCTATACAAGGCGAGTCTCTTATATATACGTACTCTTATTTCTCCCATTAACTTTACTTTATACACACTGGTTCTGCACCCTTATCTCTCTTTCCAAAGCATCCCTTGTATGTGTCTGAAAGCACCAAACATTACATTTGCTTCTGTGTGGAGCCCACCTATGTACACGGTTAACTTTGTTATTTTTTAAACCCTCACTGTTTGCAAAATGGAAGGAGGATTTACCATTTGGGAATTTTGTTTTGTTAGTACTGTACCTTTGGTGCTGTACCATTATGTAATATGGTTCTTTGTATATATATGCCTGATCTCTCCAGTACTGGTTATACTGCAGGCTGTTGTAGGTTTGACCCTAGCATGTGAAAAATTGGTTCATTGTGTTCCATTGCCATGCATCTCTACTCATTTTTGTCTTTCACTGTTTGTCCCTTTTTTTTCCCCTTGTCATTTCTCTCACTCTGCCTTAAAAATTACCTGATTTTTAAATCATGAATTAGGCTTCTTGAAACAACTCTGTATCATTGCATTGTTTTCATGTCTAATTTTGGGCAACTTAGGTAGTAACATTTTCTGATCTGTAATGATGGTTTACATATCTCAGGGTGAAAATACCTGACACCATCCCTTTCATACCATATTGGCACACTTTCTAGTGTGTAGGTATTTACATGTTATTCTACATGTGCAGATTTCCCTGGGAGAGTACTTATGTATTTCACCATTTCTGTCATTTTTTGTGGCAGTTGCTGTTTTGTTTGCTGTGGGGTGCTGGAGCATTCATGCCTATCTTGAGCTCAATATGTTCTGTATATATAACTATTTTGCATCACTATTTATCTGTCTCACCTATGCTGATCTGTGCATTACACCTGCCCAATATCTCTCCGAAAAACCCAGTAACATTTACTTTGAGAGATCTCATAACTGGCAGTGGTATTTATACTAGTGCAAGCTATACGAAACTCAATTACGCATACCACACATATGATTCTCACAGATTCTATTCACAACTGATATTCTGGCAACAATTATTCACCTTTTATGAGAAGGAAGATGAAAGTGAACACAGGAAAAAAAAATAGGTTATGTAAGAAATCTAAGTAACAAAGGATTGAAGGGGGAAAGTCCTACACTGAGAGGGTGTTGTGTTCTCTCACTGGAGTTACTTCTTTAATATTACTTTTGTAAATGGTACCAAATTCTGTCATCACACTGAGTAATTTGGGTGTCCATTTGCTTTCAATTCTACCTTCATAATCCACCTAGTCTCTTTCTTTTTTGCTTTTTCATGTTACATTTCAGTAATGTTTTTCTAGTTTGTTAAGCCATTCCCCATTAAAATTGCCAATCTAAGACTAAGAGAACCTGAATTAGAAATACAACCTTGTCATACCATGGTTCATGAAAATGGCAAAGAGAAAGAAAAGTAATTTATAACCACAAAGATTCAATACAGTATTAAGCAAAAATGATTGCAAACCTGGCCAAACTGATGTCTGCCCTCAATAACAAAATTGAGAATTCCTCGAATGGCAGAATCAGTCACCAAGGTTTCTTCATCAAGATGGACAATCCAGTCTGTGTCAAGCAAAATGTTGACATCTTCTTCTAGACAGTACTGAAGAGCCCGAGCTTTGAATAATGCCCCACTCTTTGGACGGTAACTGGAGGGTACCACCACCTGTAATAAAGAAGAAATGAATCTATACAGCAAAATAAAATGTCCCTATCTCTCTGTATACTGTATCTAGACAATTTATGGGACATCATAAACTCAGTGCTACTGAAGTACTATACCTATAAATAGGTTATTGGAGTAAAATAGAAAATGTAAATGACTAAAAGTTATAGAAGGAAACTACAGGCACACTAAAGAGTAATAATTTCTGGCTGTAATAAAAACTGAGATTGTAGCAAAAATGAAATATGGCTAAGAGGAAAAGGTAAAGAATACAGATGGTTTTAACCTAACAGCTGATTACACAAAAATTGGCAAATACCTATGATAAGCAAATCTTTACCACATTGACTGTTTCCTACTAATGCAGGGTGATGCAAAGGAATCATCACTCATTCTCTGTCCTTCCAAAAATGCAGAGATATCCCAACTCAAATGATACTCTGAACTGAAATATTCGTATCCATCTTTGAGGTATCTATAATACAGTGGAACCTCATTTTTCATAAGCATCAAAAGTCATAATTTTCGAAAATCGTATCTTTTTTCATCAAAATATTGACTCGCGAATCGTCGTTTGACTAACAAATAGTCGTTCGGCCCAGACGCATATGCACAGCCCTGAGCTGCCCCACACTCCATTCACAGCCAGTGTGCCATTGTTTATCAGTGAGTGAGGATGATCCCACGCCTTCATACGATACATTTCATAATATTTCATTCGTTTTAGTGCTTGCAACTGCTAAATAAGCCACCATGGCCCCAAAGAAAGCTCCTAGTGCCAGGCCTTTGGTAAAGAAGGTGAGAAACATGACAGAATTAAAGAAAGAACTCGTAGCAATGTACCAAAGTGGAGGAGGAAGAGAGAGGGGAGAATGTACCTTCTTCAGTGATTCTACGATATGTACGATGCTAAAGCAGCACGAGTCGATAAAGGCTATAGCGCCAGCCAGCGATAAAGTGTAGCATTAACAGTATAGCAAGTAAGTTAAGCGATTAATAGATAGAAAAACAACAGCACGAACCTAACTCCTCCAATGTTGTTGGAGTTATATAGGGCTACTGACAACACCGCCGCCCTCCACCACCATGTACGGCTTATGCTCTCAGCAGCCCTTATGCACCCAACAACAAAATACATCACTCGTGACATACGTAATGACATTTTTTATTCATTCTAGAGTATATGTCATGTTTGTATGTTATTAATATTGTTTATTATGTCATATTAGATGAATTATTATAGATAAATAAGCTGTAGAGTTATTATTAGTGTCATAATGAAGGACTATCTTGTCCTGCCTCCAAACACACTCCCCTGCCACCGCCACAATTCCTAACATATGTAATGACATATTTTAGTCATACACCAACAAGAGTCTTCAATAAGGTAAGTGTGGTGTTATTACTGTTTTATTCTTCATATCTCATTGTTTTCTGTGTACGTAAATCTATATTTCATGTAAAAAAAAATTTTTTTTTGTTAATACTTTTGGTCTGAAATGGATCACTGTAATTGGATTTACATTATTTCTTATGGGGAATATGATTTTGCAAATCATCAATTTCACCATTACTCACACTCTCTGGAATGGATTAATTATGAAAAACAAGGGTCCAATGCACAGTCAAATCCTGTTATCCAAAATCCTATCTCAAAGTGAACCAATAAAGAAGTACAAATAACTTTCTGTGACATGAACTGAAGCAGGGCCACCAAATTCAGGTTTGGTACCAGAGGGCCCTGCTTTACAGTGCATCACTTTACAGTTTTTCGCTAATGCAGCAGTTTTCAATTATACCTATTCTTCATTTATTCATACTACTACTACTACTACTACTGTTTTTCAACAAACTGGCTGTATCCCACTGAGGCAGGTTGGCCCAAAAAGAAAAACGAAAGTATTCAGGCTTCTTACAGCAAATATATTCACCACTCACTATAAGCTAAGGATGAAACTATTTGTGTGTACTATATATGCATTTTTTAGGCCTAGCTCTATGCTCACTTAATATATGATAGTGCAAACATGTTATCAAGCTTTTATGTGCATTTGGAAGTGAAAAAACGCTGTGTTTCACTTTACAGTGATTTTCACTTTATAGTGGTAACCCAGAACTTAACCTGCTGTATAAGCGGGGTCTCCTGTATTGGAAAACACTGTCACTTTCCACCTTCTCTCTAATCATTAATGCACTTTCAACTTGTATTTTTTTTTTAACACACAAGCTGTTTCCTACAAAGGTAGAATGACCCAAAAAAAGAGAAAAACACTTTCACCATCACTCACTCACAGCTCAGATGCCCCTTCAAACTGCAAATATTCCCAACCCTTCCATTGCAGGCACTGTACTTCTCACCTCCAGGACTCAAGTCTGGCTAACAGATTTCCTTGAATCCCTTCACAAAATGTTACCATGGGTGTTTGTGTACATGTGGTCTTTTGTTTTTTTGTTTTAGCTAATTAGTTATTCTATAAATCTTCTTTTACCTCTTACATCTTATAAAATATACTTAGAATGCTATCTGAATACACACCTGTCTAACTCTCTGATTTTCAGGTAGATCGATCTTCTTGTCTGTGACAACTTCGATCATGAATTTCTCTAAGCCGACCCTCAGGCACGTAGTAAGATTGCGGTTGACATTTTGTCTAACAAGATCAGGGTAGTCTCCTCGTGTTACTACTCTGAGGCAGAGAAATGGTGCCAGAAGTGGTGACCCTTTTAGCTTGGCACGTTCAGGAAAGGCATTAAAGCATATAAGACCCAAGAGGTTAAAAACAGCCTGCAAAAAATAATATTTTTGTAATTTGCATTCTAATAAAAGTATTTAGTACATATTTTGTTTTGCTTTGAGATAACTTTTGTCAGCATTACATATAAGGTACTGTACTGTAGAGGGGAACATCAAAATCTATACAACAAAGTACAATCATCAGCACACATCAGATCCTTTACTTTTACTCCAACTTCAGACAAAGCACACCACCTTTCCTTATTGCAAAAACACTATTAAGTGTACAGTCCTTCTTGCATACTTCAAAGCACTCTACTTGGAGAACTCTAAACTGATATGCTTACTTATCAAAACTATAAAAGGCTGTAAATAATTTCATGCACATAAGAGAGATTTTAAAACTATACTGTACACATGCAATACAGGAAACCTTCCATATAACAGACTAATTGGGGGAAGCAGGTGGCTGGTAATGGTAACTGTGGTAGACAGAGAAGAATTTGCTTTGCTGTGATGAATAATTCTGTAACTAACCAACTGTGTCCACTGTTTCCAACTCAACTCACCCCAGTGAATTTTGTCCTGTATTTCTGAAGTTCATTACAATAAGGTCTGCTATATGGAGGGTTTACTGCAATTGCATGTATTTGCAAAATATGTAATTACCAAGTCATGCCAACTACAGACCATAATTCCAATTGCTCACTTTGAATGTAAGTGTTTCAGTGAGCGTACCTGTGGCAGTGCCAAAAGAGGCAATAGTCTGAGGAGTTGGAAGAGAAGGGTGACTAGAGGTGGGTATGATGGTGAAGTGGGTGGGTCTCCCCACAAGCCCCCTGCTCCCACTTCAAATAGCAGCACCACTGTGATGAAGAGAGAGACATGGGCTACATGTTTAGTGAGGTGCAGCGTCTCCGAGAAGGCCGAGCTCAATCGACCCACAACCATCATGCCTGGGGGATAAATATACAAGCTAAGCATATCCTGCAATTAACATGCCTGTGACATCTAGATACCTCAAAAATCATTACACCTTTGATGAGTCTTTTTTTTTTTTATTATTCCCTTAGCCCGGCCATAGGCCAGGCGTAATGTGTATTACTGTCAGATCATCAAAATAAGTAAATAAATATGCTAAAATGATATCCAGCATAAAATACATTAATAAGCACATCCTTTTCATAAATCTGGTCCACTATTCTCTCTTCTTCCATCATTGTCAAGCAATAAACCTTTTATGGTAATTCTTGACACTATTCTCCTAGAATTAAAGCATCTTGGTTTCCCTTTATGCAGTTTTGCATAAAAAAAATACTATACTACTATTTATTTAACTTGTTCATTGATTTTTATGTAAATCTGTTATTCATGCCAGGGTCACTTACACAGATGTGTTTTGAGCTCAGCTCACTCAGATAAGCAGTGAGCAGTAAATTTTGGCCTAAATATGAAAGAATGGGTCTATGCGGTGAGTGTGCACAGTAAAAAATCCTGCTCTGCACAGTGCATAATGGGAAGAGCAAAACTCTGACTTTGAGGTGTTTTCTAGGATGGTTTTTATGGTTTTACTGCCTGATTCCTGATAGAATGAAAGCCATACTAGTGAAATAGAGATGATTTTGGTTAGTTCCAGGACTAAAGTAGCTTGAAATCGGCCTCAAAGCAACGGAAATGCAGTGGTACCTCGGGATATGAACAGCTCAAAACACAAATAATTATGTAAGTGTATTTATGTAAGTGCTTTTGTAAGTGTATTTTTGGGGGTCTGAAACAGATTAATCTAATTTACATCATTCCTTATGGGAACAAATTCGTTCGTTATCAGGACTCGAACAGCCTTCTGAAACGAAATAAGTTCGTATCCCGAGGTACCACTGTATTAGGCTTTTGCTGATTTTCCTGAGGATGGGTAAGGCTTTCTTATACTGCCTGATCTGTTTAATGGGTTTTTAATAGGTCTGATTCAATTATTGGCATGCCATAAGCCATGACCAACCATTCCTGGTTATATTTCATTATCTTAGAAATACATAGAGTAAATATTAGATTTTTTTGCAACGATGAATTCACAACGGAAGATCTGCCAATGGTTCCAACAGTCATTGTCGCAGCTTAGTCCCGGATCTGTCCTCCTAGCTGATGACCTGATCAATCAGGCTGTTGGTGCTAGCATGTGCAGTTGAACATGACCATCTCAGCTAGATGATCAAAAACTCTGCAGAAACTTGTCAGTTATTTTATGTGCTAAGGATAGCTCAGGTATATGTATGGAGAAATGTTGAAAATTATTCATAACTAATAACCTTAAAGGGTCCAAGACTTCTAAACGAGTTTCCTTGAACAATAAAGGGAATGCAGTGGACCCTCCGTTTTCATCAATCGCCGTTACTGCCAATTTCAGTTTTGGCCGACTTTTTTTCGTTGATTTTTTGGCTCCATTTTTGTCGATTACCTCCATTTTCGTCGATCGTATGGAACCTGTCCAGTGCCCAGAAGCAGACCAAGCCGCCTCCCATGCGCATTTTCAGCCAGTGTAGCATTGTTTCTCAGCGAGTGAACATATCCTGCCAGGTCATACGAAACATTTCGTAAAAATCCATTGTTTTTGCTACTTGTTTATTGTGTGTGACTGCTAAATAAGCGAGCATGGCCCCAAAGAAAGATCCTAGTTCCAGTGCTTTGGTAAAGAAAGTGAGGAACACCGTAGAACTGAAAAAAGAATTCCTAAGAAAATACGATAGTGGCACACACATTGCTGAACTCGGTAGGATTTATGGGAAGTCGCCATCAACACTCAGTTCCATTGTGGGAAAGAGAAAAGAAATGATGGAAGCTGATGTTGCAAAAGGGGTGAATGCAATAACCAAACAGAGATCCCAGACAATTGAAGAAGTGGAGAAATTGTTGTTGGTGTGGATCAGAGAGAAAGAGTTTGCAGGAGATAGTGCTGTACAATCAGTAATTTGTGAAAAGGCAAGGCAGTTGCATGACGATCTCATAAAAAAACTGCCTGAAACAATTGCTGATGTAGGTGAATTTAAGGCCAGCAAAGCCTGGTTTGAAAAATTCAAGGAGCAAAGAGGCATTCACAGTGTTGTAAGGTATGGTGAGGGTGCCAGTTCAGACAAACAAGCGGCTGAAAAATTTGTGCAGGAATTCAACTGTTATGTAGAGAATGAAAAATTTTAACCCCAGCAAATGTTCAATTGTGATGAAACAGGCCTGTTTTGGAAGAAAATACCAAAGAGGACCTACATTACACAGGAGGAAAAGGCACTCCCAGGACACAAGCCTATAAAAGACAGGCTAACTCTCTTGTTATGTGGTAATGCTAGTGGGGATTTCAAAGTGAAGCCTTTACTGGTGTATCACTCAGAAAATCCCAGTGTTTTCCAGAAAAACAGTGTTGTCAAGAGTAAATTGTGTGTGATGTGGAAGGCTAACTAACAGTGGGGCCTGGGTAACAAGGGAAATTTTCCTGGAATGGTCCAATGAAGCATTTGGCCCGAGTGTGAAAAAATACCTCCTGGATGATAAATTGCCACTCAAGTGCCTCCTGTTAATGGACAATGCTCCTGCTCATCCTCTAGACTTGGAAGACCAATTGTCTAAGGAATTAAGTTTTGGAACAGTGAAGTTCTTGCCTTCTAACACCACTCCTCTAATCCAGCCCATGGACCAGCAGATCATTGCAAACTTCAAAAAACTGTACACCAAAGCAATGTTTAAAAGGTACTTTGACATAACCTCAGACACTGAGTTGACCCTAAGAGAGTTCTGGAAGAATCACTTCAATATCTTCCAGTGCATAGACCTTATAGATAAGGCTTGGCAGGGAGTGTCTTCCAGGATGATGAACTCTGCTTGGGGAAAATTGTGGCCAGATTGTGTCCGACAGAAGGATTTTGAAGGGTTTGAGGCTGACCCTGTCGACCCTACATCTGTTGTGCAATCAATCGTGGAATTGGGGAATTCCATGGGGTTGGATGTGAGTGGCCACTGATAAGCTGGAAGAGCTTCATCTGCAACAGCAACAGACCACAGCACAGGAAATTGATGCAGAGGAGGAAGAGAGATGGAAGCAGGTGTATTCTTCAGAGATTAAGAAGATTTTTGCACTGTGGACTAGGGTGCAGTCATTTGTGGAGCAACATCACCCCGAGAAAGCTGTTGTAATCTGTGCTGGTGACTTTTACAATGACAATGCCATGTCCTATTTTAGGGAAATTTTAAAGAGATACCAGAAACAGACCTCTCTGGAGAAATATTTTGTGCAACAGGTCCAGTGACTCTCAAGCTGGTCCTAGTGGCATTAAAAAACAAAGGAGGGAAGTGACCCCAGATAAGGACTTGGTACCTACAGTCCTTATGGAGGGGGATTTCCCTTCCAGAGAATAATCTCTCTTCCCTCTCCCCTCCTCCCTGTCTTCCTTCCAGCAACAACAGCCTTCAATAAAGTTAAGTGTCATGTGTAATGTTCATTCTTTTGTGCATGTAAATGTATCTTTAAGGTAAAAATTTTTTTTTTCTTAATACTTCTGGGTATCTGGAATGAATTAATTCCATTTACATTATTTCTTATGGGGAAAATGGTTTCGGGTTTGGCTAATGGCTCTGGAATGAATTAAACACAAAAACTAAGGGTCCACTGTAAGTGATAAACCACAAACTGACTTCAAGGGGTAATCTGACAAGCTCCTCTAGACAATTCCTGATCAGCCAGGCTGTGGCACACTTTTATCCAACTGTTCACTAAAAGCACCAACAGTCTGACTGCCTTAAACCAGTGTACTTGGTCACAGGAACCATAATTTCAAAACCATCTACAGATAAACATATAGTAAGGCCTAAACTGTAGACACCATTAAACATAAATTAAGGCCTAAATGCCAGACACCATTACAACTGCAGACACACTTACAGTGTAGTGTCTGCAGTTGTAATGGTGTCTGGAGCCAAAAAAGCATACAGTATTAATATGAGAGAGTCTGAACACATACAATAAACTACGTACAATGCTAAAAAGTTATACTTAAGGACTAAAGAAGGAACATATGAGCACAGCTTTAATTCTCTAGCTACAAATATGTAATAGTAAAACCAAAAGCAATACAAAGTATTCTGAATTACTAGCAGAGTTTTGGTTGACATACACTAACATGAATTTCAAATACACACTATGACAAAAAAAAATATTTTCTAATTTTATGAGCTTCACTATCCTAAGTGCTATTGAACAAGTACTATTCTTCTGAAAAATATTGTGTTTATAGCAGAGTACAAAGCACAGCACCACTCGGAGATGGTCTTCAGTACATTATGTACTCAAATGGATGCACTCATACAAAGCGATATTTTAGAGATTTGCTTCTAAAATAAGTTTTTATATACATACAAAGGCACTACGTATAAGTGTTCTGACTTCAATCAAGTTTCGGTCCCATATGAAGACTTGTGGAATAGGTAAATTGTGCTTCACATCACTATCTTTCCACTTGATGACTGGTAAGTCACACACTGATGTTACAACCTGCGTACAGTTGAGAACTCGGTTTCTACTGATAAGATATAAACTGCCTTATCTCTAAATACACGAAGGGAATGTCCTTTATTTATCGAAAAATCTCACAATAAGGTTTTATCACATTATTAGGATTATCACCCTGCCACGTGTGTACATGTGTGTGCACGAGTGCAAGTGCATATGTTTACATACATGTACAAAGAGCTAAGCTGAGCAAATAAACCATGGGTGGGAGAGGAGAAGGGGTTAGATTTGGAGGTCTTTCCGTTCCTAAAGAAAACCTTTGTCATTAGCTAGGAATTCGATAAATTAGGTAGGAATGAATGCTACATACTCTTTCTAGGGGAAAAGAGTAGCAGACTACCTTTGATGGGTTTTGAAAATTTTCTTACTCCCGCAGCCCAGCCCCATCCCAGCCCTACCCCAGCC